TGATGTTTGCTTCGGCAAACGAACGTCATTTCTTCGACGTGGAAGAACATTAACGAACAATAAAGTCTAATAGTCGAAAACTTTTATTCACTTTTACAACACCTCACTACGTATTTAAAATTATTTACTTAGTACATTTTATTTCATTTCATTTTAGAGTTGCGATGATGGTGATGATAATGAAGATGATGATGACGATGATGTTGATGACGATGAAGATGATGGTGGCGATGATGATGACGACGACGATGATTTTCAGAAATTTTAAGAAAATTTTCTCCCAAAACAAAAATTCAACTTTCATCATCAATAGACAAACAGCAAAGCTAATTGGGTCCTAATTGAAAAAAATTTTTTTTGAGAGAATGTCAAAAACTTGACAAACATACAAAAAATAATCCGAACGTGCTCTCAAACGGTTTTAAAGTTTAGTTTTTTTTCATACTTTTGGCTGCAATTTCATTTAATGTCTCGTCTTTTATCGATCAAATAACGTTTAATCAATCAGTCAACCAACTAACCAACCAAGTCAATCAATCTAACAATCAACAACTAACCAAACCAATCCAGCCAACCAACCAAATCAATCCAGCCAACCAACCAAATTAATCAATCCAATAATCAACCAACTAACTAGCCAACCAAATCAATCCAACAATCAACCAACCAAACCAATTAATTTAACAATCAAGCTAACAATCAACCAACCAACCAAATCAATCAATTCAATAATCAACCAATTAACCAACCAAACCAATCAGCCAATCAATCAAATCAATCCAACAATTAACCAGCCAACCAAATCAATCTAATGATCAATCCAACAAGCAACCAACCAACCAAACCAATCATTCCAACAACCAGCCAACCATTCAAATCAATCATTCCAACAACTAACCAACCAATCAACTAATCAATTAATATTTCTATTGCACTTAACCTATAGATCAAACTGTTCTATTCCAATCACCAAAAAATATTAATAAGAGTAAAATCAATATCAATTAATTCAATCTAACTTTTAATTTATTCATTTTTTCATTCATTTTTATTAAATTAATTCCTTCTCTCTATCGTAAAAAATGTGCCCCCTCTAAAATTAATTTGTTTTACCGCCATCCGGTAATAATTCTTCTCTAAATAGATCATAGGTCGGTTAGAGAGCTGGATTAATCTTTCCCTCATTTTTCTGTTTGCGGCTGTTTTATGTTGTATTGCGTGTTTATATTTTTTGGTATATTTTTTGGTATTATCTGCGCTTTTTTGGAATCTACATCACGTATCTTTGTTGTATTGTATGAGTGCATTTTGCTGGCATTTATAAATTTTTTTGTTGTTTTTTTTACTGGTGTTATGGTTAGTTTTTGTTGTATTTTGGGTATTTTTTGGTATTTATAGATATTTTTTTTGTCTTGAATCTGTGCTATGGCTATTTTTAGTTTTATTGTGTGTATTTTTTAGATATTTATTAGCATTTTAGTTGCATCTGTGTTTTTTTTTGGAAACAATTGCTATTTTTGTTGTATTGTATTTGCGTTATGGTTATATTTTGTTGTATTGTGTGTATCTGTGTGTGTTGTTGGAATTGGAATGTATTTTTGTAGTATTGTGTGACCTGTTGGATTTGTACGTATTTTTTGTATTCATAGGTATTCTTTATTGTGTGTACACATAGTGAGGATTACATGGTTGATTAAGATGACGATGATGACGACGATGAAGATGATGATGACTATGACCATGATGGCGACGACGACGATGATGGCTGAAAAGATTTCGGCAATTATGACGGCAATGATGACGATGATGTCAATTGGAAGGGCAATGAAAAAAACGAATGTCGTTTTTAACAATGTTTCTAACAATGATGATGATGATGATGATGATGATAATGACTCTGGAGATGATGATAATGATGATAATGACTCTGGAGATGATGATGATGATGACGGTGATGATAAGTACTCTTGCAAAGACTCTATGGTAAAATTTTTATAGCGCCTCCATTAAAAACGCTCTACAGAAAGAAATTTCACTCAGTTGCTTGCGTTGGAGTTTAAATTTTTTTTTCCCGAAACTTATTTTCCTATTTCATTTCAACTATTTTCTCCAATAAACAAGAACCTCAATTTTAATTTTTGCAGCGAAATGATTGAAATGAATAAAATTCAAGAAATGTATCGAGTATAGAGTCTAGACTGAAACACGCCGAAACATAAAATAGAATAAAAATGAAACGATGGGTCTATAAAATGTTGATAAGGATGGCGACGACTCTGACGATGACGACAATAATGATGACGTCACTATCGATGACGCTGATGATGCTGAAGACGATGACGATGATAATGACTTATTTGTTCAGAAGTAGCTGACACAGACACAGTTCTTTATGATTCACTTTTGTTACCCTTAATTGCTCGAGTCTCACAATAAACTACTCTGTTTACGTACCTGCCTATGTGTATGTATACGTGCTACATATATGTGTCGTTAGTGCTGTGTGAAAATATCCATATGTGTGTGTTTGTTTGTGTGTGCGTGCGTGTATATATGTGTGTGTTTTTATTAGTTTCAGTGCATGTGTAGATGTGATGTTTGTGTTTAGATAGATGTTTTAGTTGTTTTGAACATGTATGTGTTTGTTTGTTTGTTTGTTACATTTTTACATACGTCTACATGGCTTCACATGCATTTGGCAGGTTTGTTTGTGTGGTTTTTGATCGTGCACACGTACACAAGGGTGTATTATTAACGTACTAATGTTTTTTTTCGTACATACACTATGGAAATACGCATACAGACTGACATAAATACACAAAGCATTCACAAATTGTTGACACTGGCAGGCGTATATTGAGTCCCATTTTCTGGCAAGTTTTACGAGAGCGGAAAACGTGTTAATAACTTGCGTAACGATGTTGGTCTGGTTTATTACTCTCTCTTTTTTATTAATTTTACAATTTGTTATTTATTTTTAATTTAATTTGAGATAATAACCCTTTTGATTTTGCCTGTTCAGAAATTTTTGTTGGCACTTCAACGTTCTTTCGAGGTTTTTTTTCACTTTATTTAAGGCGTTAATTGTGGGCTTCTACGCTTTTTAAAATTTTTGTATCTAATTTTACTTTTTAGGTCAGTTGGTATTTTTGTGTTTTTATTTCTTCGCGGGCTATTTTGAAATTTTTCTTCACCGTTAAATTTTTTTCAAACGCACAAAAGATTCAAAACTTAATTTGGCAGATTTTTTTGTTCTGTGACGCCATTTTTTGGTATTTTTAGCCTTTTTTTATTTTCTTTATTTAGATTTTTTCAGAAATTTTTTATGTCTAAAAGTTTTTTCAAGCCAGTAAATTTTATTTTGGTCAGGAAATCCGGTTCTAAATAATGCAAACTCGAGTTACTGAGCGCGCTGGCAACGAAACATTAACATGTTTTATTGTAACTTAATGTAATGTCAGCTTAACTTAATGTATTTATAGTTTAACTTGAATAACTATATATATATATATACATATATATATATATATATATATATATATATATATATATATATATATATAGTTTAACATGCATTTATAGTTCAACTTAATGCAAGGACATTTTAATGTATTTAAAATTTAAAATATATTTACTGCGAATATATAGTATTTTTATTAGAAGCAGTAGTAGTAGAAGTAGCTGTAGCATTAGTATTAAAGTGGTAGCAGTAGTAGTAGTAGTAATAGTAGTAGTAGTAGCAGTAGTAGTAGTAGTAGTAGGTAGTAGAAGTAGTAGTAGTAGTAGTAGTAGTAGTAGTAGTAGTAGTAGTAGTAGTAGTAGTAGTAATAGTAGTAATAGGAGTAGTAGTAGTAGTTGTAGTAGTAGTAGAAGTAGTAGTAGTGGTAGTAGTAGTAGGTGTAGCAGCAACAGCAAAAGTTGTAGCAGCAGTAGTAGTAGTATAAAATGAAATATTTTCAATTAAAGTAGTTAGCAATTGAGAGGGAGTATCAGTAGTGTTGAGTGGGTGGTTAGCTGTAAATTTGTATATAGTAATCAGGCTGCAAGTAATTGTGCAATCATGCAGTAACATGGATGTATGTAGGTAATATTGTATGACAGAAATTCTGTACGTCAATTAATATAACCTAATAAAACGGTCAGGCTTAATTCGATTTATCGTGATGTCTTCTCTTTCTCTAGGCTAATTTAAAGCTTTAGGCTAAAATGTGGACTAGAAAATTGTGAAAATTGCAAAATGTATTAACGTATATTGTGTGAATTTCATAAAAATTGTGATTGTGAACGAAGTGTAAGAGTTTTTAAAATTTTAAACAGATGTTAAAACTTGCCGATCACAAAACAGTCGTTATAACTTTTCTTTCAAACCGCAGGTATGTGGTTCAATTTTTTCTCGACGGTATGTTGTTTAGTTGTTTGATTGGTCGGTTGGTTATTTGATTAAATGATTGAATTTGGTTAGTATGTCAGATGGATGGTTGATCAGTCGGTTGGCTGGTTAGTCAATAAACCGGTCGGTCGGTTTGTTAGCTGGTAGGTTGGTTGGTCGGTTAGTTTGGTGGTTGACTGCTTGGATGGTCAATCGGTTGGTCAGTTTGTTGGTTAGTTAGTTGATTGGTTGATCGGTCTTGGTTGGTTGGTCAGTTGGATGTTTGTTGGATTATCTAAACGTCAGCTCAGTGCAATTTACGCATCAGTACATTTAACAGCCGCCCTTGTTTCGCCCCTGTCATGTGCAAAGCTGATGCAATGAAGAGGAGAATGATGACGTTGGTTACGATGGTGAAGAAGATGAAGATGATGACGACGAAGATGAAGATGATGACGATAATGATGATGGTGAAGATGATGGTGAAGATGATGATGAAGATGATGGTTATGAAGATAATGATGATGAAAATGGTGGCGACGATGACGACGATGATGATGGTAGGAGAAAAAACATTTATAAATAAAAATTTTAAAAAGTAGAATGTAACCCCCTGGGACTTGCTTTAATGATGGCGATATGCAATTTCAAAGTTAAATATTCTGATATCGTTGATGAGGATGAAGATGATGAGGGTGACGAAGATGATGACGTCAGTCAATGATGATGACGACGGCGAAGTATGCAATTATGTAACCGACAGCGTGTGACGTATGTGACTACTCCGTATGACGTCATTTTATCATGGCGGCTTTTATTAAGTTTTTTTTTCTCAGTCATCGTCTTTATAAATCATGTACACACTTTATTTGTTTCATTGCAATAATTCTTTCATAATAATAATAATAATAATAATTATTATTATTATTATTATTATTATTATTATTATTATTATTATTATTCAATCATCATTCCAACTATAAATTAATCCATTGGAAATATAATAACGCTTTTGATAGTAGTGTTAGTAGTTGGACATGAAAATTCACAAAACACGTCATCCAAATCTTCGTCATTAAACCACCGAACGTTTTAACTGCAAATCAAATTTACCTACAGGCCGCCAATTTGAGAAATTCCTTCTTAAAATTTTTTGCTGTTTCTGCTGCTGCGGCTCCTATCTAAAATGCTCGCGACGTCGCTCACAGACTATGCTGTCGCTTCAACATCGACCCGAAGTCACCCGAGCCACAGTAGAAGGAAAATCGGTAGCCTACAACGTCAAAAACTTCACAAGTTTGGCTAATTTTCGAAAACCTCTATCCTGCAATCTCACGAGTTTCAGTAACTCGAGAATTCGATCGAATAGTTGTGCCGTAGAGATGAAGGTGATGGGCACCTCGTCAAATAATAATAATAATAACAGTAATAACAATATAATTAATAAAAATCAAAATACTCATAGTAGTAATAATAATAATAATAAAAAGAGTGGTAGTAATAATTGTCTGACTGTTCAGGACGGGCAGGCGGAAGTGATGGCCCGCCAGAGAGCTGCCTCGCTTTCCATTCTGAACGTAAGTTGAGTCGGCTGCCAGACTGGTGGAACCTGTTCAAAAAAAAATAATAATAATAATGTTTATAATTTTTAAACTGTTGTTTCTATTCTAGGTCGTTTGAATGTTTTTTAATAAATTCACCAGCAAATATCGAATTAAAACTACGTAGTTATAGTACCTGAGAACGTAGAAATATGTCAAATATTAACGTTATTTCGTAAACTCGTTGAAATTTCATTATAATTTTCAATATTTTTCGTCCTTATCACAGTGAAAATCAATTTTTAAACTTTTTTTCTTCAAATAATTGATAAATTCTCGGTGTTGAATTTAAAATTTTGATCGTTCCCACTAGTTGGATAATATTTTTTCAATTTCTGCACAAATTTTATTAGCGAAATTATTGAAATTTGATGTTGAAACTTTTTGATGTTTGTAATAAAAATTTGTGAGAAAAATTTCAGTGCCTTCTCATTAAAAACAAAATTTTGTTACACACGAAAACCACCAACACCTATTTACTACCATTTCCATGAAACACTTTAAAACTGAAAAACATGAACAAGTTTATTTTTAAATAAAATAAATTGAACATATATTTCATCAAACTTTTCTAATTTTTTGGAGTTTCAAGATGCGCCAGCCAAATCTGTGACTAACATACCTATATTGCATATTCCTTGCATCTAACAACTGAGTGCTGAATATTCTCTTTACCATTAACCAGTGCCCGCGGTTATAGACAACTTTTGACGGAAAAGGCTAAATTCGCTAAATTTTTAAAATCATTTTTTGTTATAAGTAATTAATCATTACCAACATCTCTTGAGCCCATTTGTTAAATTTCTCTACCTTTCTCGTGATGATTTCACTATAGAAATTGTACAGGTCTGGAAAGAATACACAGTCTTGCCTAACACCTTTCTTTCTTTCGACAAAACTGGTCATCTTGTTACCAACTTTCATTTTTGTTCTTTGTTTCCAATAGAGGTGTTTGATAACTCTTGTGTCTTATCCATCAATGTCAAAATTTTCCAATATTTCCATAAGCTCCACGAGTTTCACGCTTTCAAAAGCTTTCGAGTAATCGACAAAACATATAAACAAGTCTTTAAGTCTTTCGTCATTTCAATCGCTCGTTCACTGATCATTCACAGCATAAAGATAGCGTTTTTTGTGTGTGCCACAATCCTCTACCAAAAGCAAAACAAAACATTTGAAATGTATATATATATATATATATATATATATATATATATATAAGCAAAACAGGCTTTATTAACTAAATTTTTACTATAGTTGACAATGGAACGATTCTTGCATGAAGATTAAGGATTTTAGTATAAAGTTTCTGAATGATGTATGTAACAAACAATTAAAATTTTATTTATTTAAAATTATTTATATATTAAATATGCAAATATATGAATACAAAAGTAAAATTGTCATTTTTAATTAGTCAAATGTAATGAATAAGTTTCAAGGTATAGAATTCTAGGTATGGCAGGAGGATGTGATTGAAGATAGAATGCACTTTTACAATTTTTTTTGCTTGAGACACGTTTCGGTTTCTAAAATAGAAAAATCTTTTTTCTAAATAAATTTTGCCTGTTTTATTATTAAATAATTAAATACAGTTAGGTTAGATTTTTAATAAAAATATTTCAACAAATTGTGCTTCATGTTTGCTTAATATTGTAGTTGTTAGATCAGAAAATCTGAATTTATTTTGAAGTAATTCTGAATATCTGATCAGAAGAAAACAGATAAAAAAAAAGAAGCTGAACTTAAGTGAACCAGAATCTCTCAGGACTTCAGTCTAAACTTGACTTCTTCATTTAAAAACTGGAAACTGATTAGAAATTAGCTGGTGATGAGCAGCAATAATGGAGTCAACATCATCCAACAATAATGTGTCCCAAGCTTTAGTCATTATTATACTTTCTATGACAGTAGTCCTTATCTTATTAGTTTCGTATGCAAAGAATATTCTACTTTTCCTAGGGATTATTAAACAACATGGGCCACAAGATGATGACAAAACAGGTATTTTACATAATTTTGAACAGCTAGACATTAAAGTTTAAACTTGAAAATGTTTTTAAATTGAATTTATCTAATAATTTAGTTAGTTTGCATTCATAATTGATTTAATTTTTAATAATTTAATTAATCAAACAATATTTGGTTTGGTTTGATTTGGTATTTAGTAAAATAAGTTAATAGTGTATTAAAAGTTAAACTATAAATATTATTTGTTCTCTGTATATGAAACTTTTATTGCTTACTTCGTTGTAAGATTAATTATCAATTATTAATGTAAAATTAATTATAATTTTAATTTTCAGAGAAAGACTCTTCAAAGTCTGAAATTCCTGACAACAAGGAAGCAACGAAATCCAAAGATACTAATCAACTGAACAAAATGGCAACTTCTAAGAAGGATAGGACTGTATCAAAGTCGAAATTTACCCATGAACATCTAGTTGCCACTCTGAAATCCCATACAGGAATCATATCGGATATGCATTTCAGTCCCAATGGGAAGTATCTGGCATCTTGTGCTGATGGTTAGGATCATACAACACACACATGCATATAAACATACACACATACATATATACACACACATACATATATACATGCACACATACATATACATACACACATACATACATACACACAGACAGACACACGTACAAAGACACATACATACATACACTACACACATACATATACACACATACACACACACAAATATATATCATGAAAAATAATTTTTTCATCTTCTAGATAGATCGATATATGTCTGGATTATCAAAGATTTCTTAAACAACAGTAGCAAGTATGTGTTGGTAATATTTATAAAGTATAACACTCAGTGTAATGGATAAGGTGTCTGGTCTGGTCTTGCTCTATCAGTGATTGAATTCAAATGCATAAAGAACCCCATGCATATGAAAGATGAAAATGTGTGTGTGTATGTACGTGTGTGAGTTTGTACGTATATGTGTGTGTGTGTATATATTTATGTATGTGTATGCATGTGTAGTGTATGTATGTGTATGTATGTATGTGTATTTGTATATATTAGACAACTTTCGAACTTATTAAAAAAGAATTATCAATAATATAAGTTTTTTTTGTGTATATTTATTCATTTTTATTTATTTAATGTGTCTGTATGTATGTGTCTTTGTATGTATTAGACAACTTTCGAACTGATTCAAAAAGAATTATCAATAATATAAGTTTTTTTTGTGTATATTTATTCGTTTTTATTTATTTATTTACTTTTTTTAATTAATTAACTAATTAATTATTAAAAGGTCAATCAGAGTGAATGTTGACTATGACCATGCCACGAAGCTCTGTTTCAGTCCAGACAATAAGTAGTCGATATTCCATATCTTTAGTTTTTTAATGCTTCAAACAATATTTAATAATAATTATTGTCATTCATTATATTATTATTATTAACCATTTTTGGTTATAATTATATAATTATAAGTTAGAAATAATAAAATAATTTGATTTCAATCTCCTATCAGAGCTTTTTTGGTTACCCTGTTCTCGGAAGAAACAATTCGAGTGTACAAGATGGCTAAGAAAGAGGATGGCACATTGGGAAAAATTCAGTCGGCCTTTGATTTTCCAGAGGTGTTTGTGTGTGTGTGTGTGAGAGAGAGAGAGAGAGAGAGTGAGAGAGATATAACTGGTGAATGTGTGTATAAGTGTGTGAGTTAGGACAGTGTATATTTGTTAGAATGGGATATATTTTCTGATTTTTCATCTGTGCATTTATTTTTTCATTCATCTGTACTTTTTTTTCATTTTTTTCATTCACTCATTCATTTCATTCAATCAATCTTTCACTCATTCATTTCATTCAATCAATCTTTCACTCATTCGTTTCATTCAATCAATCTTTCACTCATTCGTTTCGTTAATTCACTTTAAAAAATGTCCTCGAAATACTCAGCGTAGGCATAATTCATCTTTCATTCATTCATTCATTCTGCTAATTCACCCTGTCTCTCATTTAATTGTTTATTCACTCACTCACTCACTTGTCAAATTACTCGTTCATTCATCAAATTACTCATTTATCCAATTACTCGTTCATTCATTCACTCACTCATTCACATGTTCACTTAAGAAATGTCCCCACGAAGTATTGACCATTGGAATAGCCAGCACAGGCCTTTATGTTATGACCTGCTATAAGAATCCCATCATCAAAATATGGGATATCAAAGGTTGCATCAAAGATAATTAATATAAATAATAATAAAATACCTCAAAACGCCACAAAAATATCACAAAATACCATAAAAATACCACAAATATATCACAAAAACATCAAAAAATACCACATAACGCCATAAAATACCACAAAAACAAAACAAAATACTAAAAAACTACCACAAAAATACCACACATCTACCACAAAAACGTCACAAAATACCAAATATACTTGTACCAGGTACCCTGCTTACAAGCATCGACACTCTACAGATGAATCATACTCACGGCCGAGTGTCACCTTGTGGCCGATTTGTGGCTTGCTCAGGTCGATGGTAGTGGTTGTGGTGGTGGCAATTATGATGGCGGTAATAGTGGTGGTCTGGTGATGATGTAAGAAAGAAGGTTTTGATGATGATGATGATGATGATGATTGTGTGAATGGTTATAAAAGCTAAATCTTATGCTAAATCTGTGTTTGCTTTTTCTGTTCATAATAATAATAAGAATAATAATAATTCAGGTTTTACGTCAGAAGTAAAAGTATGGGAGGTCACCTTCAGCAAGACAAATGAATTTAAGGAAACGACAAAGGCTTTCCAACTCGGCAGTCACACGTCTACCATATATTCATTCGATTTCAACAACGATTCAACGAGGTTGATGTCTCCTTGTTGTTGACGTTTTGTTGTCTTTGTTGTTGATTACGTATTGTCATTGTTTGCGATTTTGTTGTTGTTGTTGTTGTCGTCTTTGGTACCTTTGTTGACTTCGTTGTTGATGATGTCTTTGTTGTTGTTAACGTCTTTGCTGCTTTTAATGTTAATGTTTTCGTTAATGTCTTTGTTGTTGTTGTCGTTGTGATGTTTTTTATGATTTGTACTTTTTTATTGGACGACTCGTTTAAACTTGAAATTTTCATTTAATGTCCTTCAGAATGGCCACTATTTCGAAGGACGGCACGTGGAAACTGTGGGACACAAACAGTCAGTCGGCCATTTTGTTTTCCGTATCTGTTATGGAATGCCGTTTATATTTATTTTTGTGACAGTTTATGTTGAGAGTTAGATCTTTACTTTCATTGCTAGCACTCATTTGTAAGGGTTTTTTTTGTTATACTTATAACAAAATTTGTTTTTAAAGTTTCAAATTGTAAATCTGTAAAATGGGCAGAAGCTTAACGAGTTGGAGTTTGAGGATTCTGTTTGTTTTTTTTTGTGTGTGTGTAATTTCTGTTGTTCACATTGCTATTTTATTTTTTTGTTATTGAGTTTTTTTTGTTATTATTCACATTATTGTAATTGTTTTGTAACATTATTGTTTATTGTTATTATTATCGTTTATTATTATTATTGTTGTTTTTTATTATTATTATTATTATTATTATTATTATTATTGTCAGTTGATTACAAGAGAAGGCAAGACCCGAAATTACTAAGAACCTGGAACTGTCAGTCGTCATTCGTCGGCTCATCTCTCCTCTGCCTCTCAGCCAATGGTCTTTCAGTAGCAATAGCTAATCACGGTTCAGTTTACATTTACAACGTCTATGACGAGGATTGCGATCGGATTGAAGATTTGTGTATCGGTTCGTAGTTATGATAATAGTAGTAGTAGTAGTAGTAGTAGTAATCATAATAATAATAATAATAAACAGGGTAATAATAATAATTTATGATAATTTTTCCGCAACTCAACTCCACAGGGGACATAGTTGCAGTTGAGTTCAGTCCGAGCAATGCTCATTTAGCGGTTTGCACTGAAAAGTCAATCTTTGTATTCCACAATGTTAAAGGTTGACATGTTGTCGTCCGCTCGTGTGTGCGTGCGTGCGTGCGTGTGCCTGTCAAATGATGATTATGATGATGAGAGTGATGATGATGATGGTTGCATACATACTTACATACATACAAACGGACAAACACATACATACACAGGTTTGATACATAGGTACATACTTACAAACACATACATACACAGGTTTGATGCATACGTACATACATACAAACACATACATACACAGGTTTGATGCATACATACAATTTGTCTATGATTTAGTAGCGCTTTTGAGATTCAACAATAAAAAAGCGCTGTATATAAATTTCCGTAATAATAATAATACAAACACATACATACGCAGGTTTGAAGGGGTTTATAAAAGATTTAAAGTTGAAGATTCAAAGTGCCTCAACAACATCAATGAAGGAGAGAATTAAAGAACAAATTAATACTGCTATGTTAGTTCGTCTGATTGGTTGATTGGGCTTTTGAATGATTGGTCAGTTAGTTGATTGGATGGTTGGCTATTCTGTGATTGGTTGGCTGGCTGGCTGGTTGATTGTTTGTTGGTTAAGCTCCGTGTGTGGTTGAATGAAGAGTGAACTAGTTGATGAACATGTCAGTCAAATTTAGGTTGATTTATTATAATGGTATATGATCGGTTGGGAGCTACTCTGGACCGGTTCGTTAATTGATCTATTACAAGATTGAATACTTGATTGATTGATCGATCGATTGATTGATTGGATTGATTGATTGGATTGATTGATTGATTGATTGATTGATTGTTTGATTGTAGCACTTAATTTATTGAAATGCTATAGAATCCTAAATTCAAAACTTTAATTTTATGTACTCATTTTGAACTATATTTCTGTTTCATAAGATTAATAGAATAGAATCTGCAGTTCAATAACTTTTGATTTATTTCGATCTAGTTTAATCCTTGATTTTTGTCGAACTATTTTAATTTTTGATTTTTGTTGATCAATGTTGATTTTATTTGGATAGGGTGACTTTCTTACAAGCATTTGGTTGCTTTTTTAGTTTACCCCTCTTTTGAGAAAATAAACGAATTGAATTGAATTGATTGAATTCATGATTGATTTTTTTCACAGGACCCAGCTAGCTTCATTGGACAAGTAACAATGATGACAGTGATGGTGAATTGTGGGGCAAGAATAAGAATGCAATGAGATGATGAATTATCATTGAACACTAGCAAGCATCTCAATCATTGTTCATCTTGTCATACGTATATATATATATATTCGTAAAAACCTTATTTTGTCGGTTTTTTTCATTTGTTTTTGGAGTAAAACTAAATTAATTTCTAAAATAGAAAACCTCGTTTGAGTTTATTTTTAAAATAATCAAGTTACATGTCGCTATCTAGTTCTATGAAGTAAATAAATATTTAAATATACGAGTGTAGTCTTTCCGTCACCGTCCAATCAGCGCAACGCCCAACAACTTGCCAACCAATGAGAGTTCACAATTCAAGCGGCGGTAGGGGCTTCGTATAGCCCGCCTTTCCGTGCAGCCAATAAGTGGTCTGCAACCCTTTGCCCTTGACATTCATCTCACCCCTCAAGGTCATTTCGTAACCTCCAATTTCCGAAATTGCTATGTAGGACTGCTTGCTTACGTGGATGTGCAGAGCTGTACGGGAGCGATTATGTGAGTGTGTGTGCGTGTGTGGGTGCCTGTGTTTGTTCATGCTTTCTTGTTGAGTTTTTTTTGTTTTGTTAAGTTTGTGTGTGTGAAAATTTGTAGGCATAAGGTTAGTATGTAATTAGTTCTACTAGACGAGTTTATCAATAGCAGTCAAAACGCCGTAAAGTGTAACAGAATAGCCTATGGTGAAAATTGTAGCGATCGTTACTAACGCTTTCCACTGGACTCCATCCTGGCGGCCATGTTGACCGTATCCCCGAATAGGCAGTACCTCGGCATGGTCAGCCCAACCACCCCCGCTACCACGGGTCCCGTGTGTATGCCTGTGTTTTTGTAGGGTGTGTGTATGTGTATTTGTTATATTGTTTGAGACCATGTGAACGTTGCTGAAAGATGAATGGAAGAAAGAGGTGAATGAACGATTTATCTAACTTGGTCAAAAGTAGTAGTGTGTACGGGTGCGTGTGAGTGAATTGATGTACGTCCCATTCTAATGCGATTGATACATGAATTGAAGAACATAAGTAGAAAGATAGATTAAAAAAGAGAAATGCAGAGAGGTAGAAAGAGAGATATATAAAGAAAAAGAAACAGAGAAGCAGAGCAATAGAAAATATTAGAAAGAGTAGTAGAATGATAACAACAGCTTGACAAACCGACGCGTAATTGTATCTGAATGTTTGGCCGGTGACGAATCCTTAATGAAAGGACACTTGACAGGAGATCCAATGAAACATTCGCAATTTCAGCCGCGTGTCTCTGTCCATTCCTTACCGGAACACCACTGACCACCATGTACGCATCTCCTATTGTTTCAACCTTTCGTGTTGTGGTGTGTTGTTTGCTTGCATGTTTGGTGGAAGTGTTCATAGTGTCTCGTTTTTGAATTGCTGGTTTAGTTTCGCTGGCTGTTTTTTTGGTTTGCTTAGTTTGACCAAATCAGGCAACTGACAGTTGATATCCGTGAATTGCTGATTAAGTTTCTAGATTTGCAATCATTTAAACGAAACCATCCAAACAAATCCGGAAAAATATCTAGACATCCAAAATTATTTCAAACAAAACTCGAAACACCGATTGAAGCCAGCCAGCACACCTTGTAGACGTCGTGTTGCGCGATGATAACGTCGAAGCATGAATAGAGATCATTGAGGAAGTCGACAATCTGCATGGGGTTGCTGTCAGAGGCCAGTGTGGCGAACCCTACGATGTCTGAGAAGTAGACGGTTGCCTGGTCGTACGATTCTGGCTTCACCGTCCGCCCGATTTTCAGTTGTTCCGCAACGGTTCTGGTATTTTTAAAAAGCTTGGAAAATTTACATTTCAGGTAATTATTTATTATATATGTATATATGTACACTTTAACTGTAATGTATTCTTGTTCAGTCCAACTTTGAGAACGTTAACAATCCGTAATCAATCAAAGGCAGAGGCATCGTATCTTCGAATTCAAATGTATCATTCTTTCATTTGTGAACAATCCTTCCACAATTTAATGAGGTTGGAATAAATGAAAAGAATGAAAAAGCGACAAGTAATAAGCAGAAAACGCAAAAAATCAACAAAAAAGAATGATAAAGATTTAAAGAAAGAAAGATGAAGACAGATAGAATCAAAAAATAAAAGAAATAAACAAAAACGCTGAATGAAAGAATAAAAGATAGAATTAAAAAAGCACAAATAAACGCCTCCTGAAGACAACTCAATAGAAGCGCTCTACAATCAATTTTCCAGAATTCTATTTCCAAACTAACGACGGTAGCATCCTGTAGAGAAGACGATCAGTTTTTTTCTTCTCTTCCAACAGCTGCTGTGTCCTCTCCTCAACTATTTCCTCCAGATTGTAGGCATATTTCTCCATTAAGTTCAGGACGCTATCCATTATGTTTATCCTATGGTTGTGGTAGTTTGCTGTCATGATACCCCGATATCGTGATACCATGATATCCTGATATCGTGATAATGAGACGATGAGAGTTTATAAAAGAAAATGATTCCTCACTCTCCATTGGCCTGCCTCTTAAGAACAGTTCGAACCTGGTTGAAGTTGGGTCTGTGTTCTGGAACCTCATGCCAACAAGCTCGCAAGAGGTCAAGGACAGCTTTGCCAACATCCGTTGTCTCGGGTAGGCATGGTCTGAACGGGATGCTTTCACCGTTTCTTACCCTATTTACCGCGTCTGTTTACCACGAGTGTCTTGTATATATGTGTGCATCTGTGTGTGTGTGATTGGCTGTGTGTGAATGTGTCTTTTTTTGTGTGTGTATGCGTCTGCGTTTGTGTGTGCGTTTCACTGAACATGTGTGTGTATGTGTGTGTGTGTGTTTGTGTGTGTGTGTGTGTATGTGTGATTGTATTACGTAATAAAAAAAAAAAACTGAAGGACGAAATAGAAACCTCTGGCAGTCATTAAATCAAAGGGGAAGGGTTCAGACCTTGTTATAATCTCGTACGCTACTATGGCGAAACTGTATACGTCACCTTTTAGAAATAATCAACAAGCGCTTAACATTTTAAAATTCTACTTAAACAAACTACAAACATACATACAAACATCATTAATCCTTGCTAATAACATTTGGTATAAACTTTATTATACAATATAAAATAAGATATTGAAAAAGTACTTGGTATAGGATAAAATATTTAAAAAAAATCTTTACTTCATTGTATTAAATTATAATTTATAATATTATATAAATTATTATTAATTAAACGCCAAATTAATTATCTTACTAAAACCATTTATGAAAAATAATTATAATAAATATAATGAACTATAATTTAATAATTAAAATATATTGTAATAAGAAAGTCTGACCCTTCTGGGAACCGTTCTTAGGGGGTATGTTCTCCCTCAATAATTCTGGGGCGGTCCAAAGTTTACCTGGGAAAATTATGATTTAAAATAATAACAATAATTTATAATAATAATAAAAATGAATAATAATAAATATAAAAATGAATAATATAATAATAATGAATAATATAATAATAATCAAATAATTACGTCTATATGCATCTTGTTCTGATTCGTCAAAAAACTGGCCACTACTAAAACTTGGCAGACCGTAATCTGTTATCTTATAAAAAACAATAATTATAATAATTATTATTAACATTATTAATAATGATGATGATAATGATTACGTTATATATTCATAACTTTCTCATTCTCCAGACGTATTATAGTGGGTTAAAATCATGCCACAGTATGTGAAAAGCTAGGGTGACTTTGAAATCAAAGCCGGTCACTCGAACAGTACTGCCAAGCATCTTAACTACTACACCACCGTGCTAATAGTAGTATTAATGATGATAATAATGGCTACTGACCCTGACTAGCCAGCGGGAGTCCACCAAACAATTGGAGCTTTTTAAGTTTCCATGTGAATGTAGGTGGCTTTTATGCATGTATATCATGCCTTTTTTCATAAAAATGGATAAGTATATGTCCATGCACGTGTGTGTGTGAGTATGTGTGTGCTTGTGTGTGTGTGTGTATGTGTGTGTGGTATAAGCATTGTATTATACCCTTTGCTATGTCCATAAGAAATGAAAGTTTGAAGACGGCATCCAGTTTGACCTCGTCATTCATTATGATGTCCTGGTGTTATTATATGTGGCTTTTGATTACGTTTTTGTAATTAATGTATTTACTCGCTTAAATAATTAATCAATTAAAAATTATCATTATTAATAATATATATATATGAACTCAATTATTGGTTAACTTACTTGAATACTTCCCTTGTTACAGTAGTGCCAAACAAGGCAAATGTTCGGTGGCTCGGTACATGCTCCAACGAACACGTTCAAGTTATCGTGTGCTATATCTTTCAACTAAGTAGTGAAATTTAAGAAATTTCTTAGATACGCAAACACACACACACGCACGCACACGCACAGAAACAAAACATCACACGCACACACATATAAAACATCACAAACCACACGCGCACATACACACACACACATATACACATAAAACATCACACACACGCACATACTAAGAACAATTCAACCAACCAACCAGCTACCCACCCACCGACCTGATTAAACTCCAGCAGTATCTCCCTGGACACTTGCACGTGTTCCTTCCTGATGTGTTTGATGGCCACTAGCACGCCGCGGTAGTAGCCAACGTCGGAAAATATCTGCTGCTGTGTGGCCGTACCGAGACTGGCGATGGAGCGGAATTGCGACGATCCTTTTCCGCTACTCGAGTTCGGACACAGTGATGCTGGGTTTGAGGATCGGTTCTTCGAGAGGTCTTCGTCTTCCGTGCTGTTGCTTGTTAGGCTGGCAGCCGTCTGCAGCATCTGTCCAATTTTTTTTTTCATCATTTTGGGATTAAAACTATTCTGTCAAATTTTTTAGTAAATTTTTTGGCAATTTTTTTTATAATTATGGAATTAAAACTATTTTTTTAATTTTCTGACCACTATTTGTCGTATTCTGTTTTATTTTGGTGTAATAGTGCATTTGATAATAACGTCTTAATGTAATTTATTGACGAGTGTACATTAGAGTATGTGTTGCAAGAGTATTGGCTTTACTGTTTTACAAGTGTGTGTACGCTTTACCATGTGTACGCTTTACCATGTGTACATACATATTTCATACTAACCGATACACTCGACCCCTTCTTTGACCCCTTAGCACTGACCATCTCAATGTCCGAATACGATAACTTCCATGATTGAACTAATAAACTGGTCTCAAATCTGGCCTTTCTGGTGATGATGGTGATGATAACGGTGATGATGATGATGGCGATGATGGTGATGATGGCGATGATGATGATGATGGCGATGATGGTGATGATGATTGTTATTAATTTTAACTTTACAGTTATCAGTGTTAGTGTTATTTATTATCATTACCATTTACAATTTAATAATTGGTAGTGTTAATATTTTTATTTATTTTTTTATTATTTTGATTTTGACGAATGATGTTAAATAATAATATTTGGTTGGCGATAAAATAACTAAACGACAAAAAAACATCAACAACAACACAACAACAACACGACAACAATAAACACCAACAACAACACGACAACAACGACAACACGACAACAACAACAAACAGCAACAACAAACAACAACAACACAAAAAAAAAACACGACAACAACAAACAACAACAACAAAAAACAACAACAATAGTAACAGAAACACCTGTATAGATGAACAAAAACAACTACAGTAGCAGCAAACGCAACGATGGCAGCGACAACGATTGTGACCACAACGACGTCAGAAACTGCATTTGATCAATATGTCCGTATTTGCCCGGCTTATCATAATTGCTAGACTATAATTTACTATTGTTAGTAATTTTTTATCATTTTGAATATTTTTATTTCGATACTATCATCATTACCACTTTTAATACTACTACTACTGTTGTTGCTGTTACTACTACTACTACTACTACTGCTGTGGCTACTACTGCTGCTACTACTGCTGCGGCTGATACCTTAAAAAATGATATAGAAATAAAAATGATACTATAAAAATGATATTTCTATCATATATAAATGCAAAAACTTGATATCCCTTTGCAGTGTTCATTGTAGAATCCACAGGGGGGTATATCAGGGGGTGCGTGTTGGTGCCCTCGTCTGCCCCCTGGCCAACATGGTGGTCGTAAATTTTTACGAAATTCCTTTCAAATTACGGATGGGTAAGAAATTTATTAACTGATTAATAAACTAACATATTAAGAAACTAACTTATTAAGAAACTAACTTTTGAAAACATTTTTATTTAATGATATTTTTTTTAGGAAGGCGGGATGGCCTAATGGTCTAGGTGTCTGGTCTTGATGTTGTAGTGTTTGGGCTCGAACGCGAAAAGAGCCACGCGATTCATTCGAAGTTGTTCCCTGTGTTATTTAAGAATACGAAATCGACCTGTTCCCCGTTATTAGTGTTGAGGAGTTCTGCAATTTTTTCAAACTTTTCAGTGTCCGGATCCAAATCCATGATGACGAAATCCGGTCCTCTATCTCCGTTGCTATCCAGCACCACGTTGCCTGTCATTCCTGGTGGCAGGATCGTGATGATGATGATGTTTGAATGATGATGATGATAATGTTTGAATGATGATGATGATTATGATGGTGATGATGGTAATGATGATGGTGATGATGATGATGGCGATGATGATGATGGCGATGATGATGATGATGATGATGACGAAGATGATGATGGTGATGATGATGATGATGGTGATGATGATGACGATGACAATGATGATGATGTTGTTTGAATGATGATGATGATGATTATGTTTGAACGATGATTTTGAAGATGATAATGATGTCCAAAATGATGATGATAAAAAAAATTATAAATATAAAGATGATAACATCTGGTGAAAAAAATATCCCAAATATTATTGATGATGACGACCAGAAACCTTGGAAAACTTTGCCTTTGAAGTTATCAACCACTTGCATTCCATCTCTTACATCCCCTCCCTTCTTCAGTATCTCTCTCAAGGACGTGACGTACAAGATGACTGCGTCGTATAAAAATGGAGAAAATCTATCTCCCTGTGAAAATGTATCATAATTTTGAATAATTCCAATTCCAATTTTTAAAATAATCATAGTTATAATTATTACTCCTCTATTATTCCTCTATTAAATGATACTTCAAAATGTCAATAGCACACAAGCGCACGCACGCACACACACACACACACACACACACACACACACACAAACAAACACACACACACAGTGCATGGCGTCTCAACCATTACGCCATTTCGTCATCCAGTCATCTATATTCACTTTTTGCAATTCAGTAATGGTAGAAACCTTTGGCAGTTTGAAAAGAGTTTATAAATAAAGGACAGACAGACATATAGACAGACAGACAAAGAAACAAACGAACAGACAGAGAAACAGACAAACAGACAGAAAAACAAACAGGTAGATTGACAAACTTGTGCGACAACTTGCGTTGAGAAATTCTTAATAGATTTTGACCAGACTTCAGTTTTCATCCTCTCAGCCACTTGACGGCGAAAATTTTTTATCTCGTCGTTCGTCAGGGCCGCCAATGTCACCTAACAATTCGAAGCTTAATTTTATCTGACGTATCTGTTTGAAATAATTTCATTTCTGAAAAACATTTTATACAAAATGAGCATAATACTTCACTTAGAAATAATAAACTTTTTGAAAAATTCAAGAATAGATAGCCAAAAACAACAACAGCAGCAACAGCAGCAACAACAACAACAAACAACAATGCGCCAAAATATCAAAGCGCAAGCCACCAACATAACAAAAAAACAAACATGAAAGACAGCTTCAAACGCCACTCTTGCCACTTGGTCTCTGCTACCACTTCTACTACCACCATCGTCACCATCGTCACTTCTCCATACGGATTCCTGGCTACTGAGGTCATTTTCCGGTAGGGCCTCAACAGTGTAGAAGACGTAATCACCACTGACCATGTCCAGATCAGACGCAGCCAATAGAAAAAGTCGACGCTCTTCTTTCGGTCCAATTAGGATGATGACTTTTAGTGGATGGATGGATGAATAGACGGATGAATGAGTGAATGAATCATGGAAAGACAAGCAAATAAATTAATAGATGAATGAATGGATGGATGGATGGATGGATGGATGGATGGATGGATGGATGGATGGATGGATGGATGGATGGATGGATGGATGGATGGATGGATGGATGGATGGATGGATGGATGGATGGATGGATGGATGGATGGATGGATGGATGGATGGATGGATGGATGGATGGATGGATGGATGGATGGATGGATGGATGGATGGATTGACAGATAAATAAAAGAACGAATGATCAAATTAAAATCATATATTTTTTTCATTTATTTATGGTCTACTAACTAAACATATTGCTTCGAAAAATTATATAACTAATATTTTATAAACTCGCAAACTTCTCGCTTCGGTTTGAATATTCTTCAGAATCGATTTGATGGTGCGGTTCGTCGGGTACCGATCGTATTCGGCCGAATAGGATATCGTCAAGTTATTTTTAGCGAATACCAAACTACATTAGACAATTGTAATAATGTTATTAGTGACAGAATTTTATAAGTTTATGTTAATTTGTATTTTCATTTATTTTAACAAATTAACATTCAAATGACGCCCAATAGTCAGCACCATATACGTACAGTAATTGAAATAAACACACTCCTAATCACTAATCTCTACCTGATAGCTTTCCCTGCGTCCCTGTATAGAAGATGATTGGACGAGACGACTGCCACTCTCCGCCAATCATACTGCTTCAAAATTTCAAGAATAAAAAGTCCCATTTTACTGAACGCTCCTAAAGTTCGGCTTAGTGTCGAGTATGTTATTTTGTCGTCGAATTCCGGATCTGTAGCAACCCAGCTTATAATCGGGACGTTGAACGTGGAGGCGAGTTCTGCCACGGATTTGCAAGCTGTTTGTGTGTTTGTGTGTGTGTGTGTTTTGTGTGTGTGTAAATGTTATGGTTGTGAGGAGAATAGTGGTGTGCGTGATACATTATGATAGTGACATGATACAATATGATAGTGAAATGATATAATATGATAGTTATATGATACACTATGATAGTTATATGATACACTATAATAATGATTTGATACAATATGATAGTGATATGATACAACATGATAGTGATATGATACAACATGATAGTGATATGATACAATAAAAGCGGCCGGACTGATCAAACAAACAGATCTCCGTCTGTCAAACGCGGTTTGTAATTAATTGTATATGATACATTGATCCACGTGTATTTGTATGAACAATGTGTGTCTTTGCTGCGTATGCACTACTTAAAAATACTGAAATGAACTTTTTGTAGTCACAATTTTTCACTAAAAAAAAACTATAAAATACCAAAAAAAATTTGCATATAACCAGCTGAGCAGGGCGGTCCAATGAAAACATCGACTGATTCGTTGATCAGAAGGTCTGCGGCGTTCCCCAAAGCTTCCTTGCTGCTGCAACTGTCGTCTCTAGCGATGAAACTGAGAAGATGAGAAAGAAGAAGAAGAAAAAGATGATAATGATGAAGAGGATAGTAGATGATGGTAGATGATGGTGGTGATGCTTGGGATGGTGATGGTCATCTTTAGCTATAAAACAAAATCTTGATTCATCAACTACATTCATCTATTTAATGACTCAAATGAACATCAACAATTTACCATAAACCTTAAATCAATCAGTCAGTTATTTGTCATTCATTTATTTAATCGATCACTCAATCAGTTACTCACTCACTCAATCAATCAATCAACCCTTCGTTCGTTCATTCATTCATTCGATAAACCAATCAACAATTCACCATCAACATTATACCTCAAATCAATCTGTCCATTGTGGCTAAGTTGTGGGTCGTGTTTAACCCTCTCAATAGCCAAAGTGACCGCACTTGAACTTGTATAACCGCTAAACTCGTAGCTCAAATTCCACGGACTCAACAGTCCAATTTTGAAACTGTGCTTTGTTAATGTTGTTGTCGTTGCTATTGGTGTCGTAGGTTTGCTGCGGCTGTTGTTGCTGCTGCTTAAAATTTTGTCGTTGTAGTAGTAGGAGTTGTTGTTGTTGTTGCTGCTGCTGCTGCTGTTGATGTTGGAAGTTTTTTCGTCGTTGTTATTGTTGTTGTAATAGTAGTTTTTGAGGAATTTGTTGTCACTATTGTCCAGAAGGTTGTTAATGTTATTTTTGGGCCTGGTTTGGACGCTGTCAGCGAAACTGTTGAGTATGAGTTCGTGATGTTGTTGTTGTGGCGTTGGTTGCTGTTGTTGCGTTGGTTGCTGTTGTTGTAATTTAAATATGCTATGCTCTGAATTTATCACGTCGTCTGCAAGTATTACCATCATAAACATCGAAATATAGCGATACATTATTGTCATGAATGATTTTATTAATGTTCTTTCAATCTTTTTAACCTACCTTCTAATGATCTATCTATCTAATTATAACTGTTATAAACTTGAATAATTTACTTAAATCATCACAGTTTTAATTTAACAACGAACTATTTAATCACTTTATTGAGAGTTTGACGTAAAATATCGGGGCAAAAAGTTATTTGAGACGATTATATAGCAGGTTAAAACTTTATTCATTTATACATGAATTAATTCACTTGTAATTCAAATGCTTCAATACATTTATAGTTAAAAAAAGAGAGAAATGATTTTTTCACAGCCCCAAGTAAATATCATTTACGTCAACTATGTCACCTGCTAGAAACTTAATGAAAAATCCTTGTTTCGCTTGAAGGCTCGACAAGGATTTCATTTTATCAATTGATGGTTTAACCATGGAATTATATAATGGGTTTAACAGCTCAAATTTCGAGTTTAATTTTTTTAAAGAAAAAAATTGTTTTATTGTATTTTATGGAGGTATAGTAAGTACACGTGAAACACGAAATTTCAAATTTTGTAAGAAAATATGCACTTATATTCATTCAAATGTAAAAGTAATTTCACCAGCAGAGAATGCAAAAATCTAATAATGGCAGTTTGGCTTATGTAAATTTTAATTTCTTTGCTCGCTTTTGATGTAAACAATTTTGTGTGTTAATTTCAAAAACGAGTTTTTTAATTCTAAATATTGCGCTTTTTTTAAAGTTATTTAAAATTGTCAACTTTTTAAAAAAAAATGTGTTTTGTCCTTAATTTAAAAAATAAAAATGTCCTTAATTTGAAAAATACGAATTAAATGAATAAAACTTTTAAAAATGGCAAGCGATATAGGAGTTATTGACCCAGGCAAAGTTATGAAAGAAATTTTTAAGCACGAAAATTTCCGGTCAGAGTTGCAGAAAGATGCAATCTTGGCCATCATGAAAGGTTCCAATTCGTCAGAAACTTATTCTCATTTTCAAATAGTCATTGCAATTTGTAAAATAAATAATGTATGAATAGCAATAGATGCAGAACAAATGTAGATGATGGTCAATTCAATAATATATATTTTATTTTTATTTAAATTAATTAGTTTATTTTTAATTATTTTTCAATTCATTAATACATTATCAATAATACATAATTTAAAATTTAAATGACACTTTATAATTATAATATAATCCACCTTTCAAAAAAATAAAAATTAAAACTTTTTTTAAGCTTTTTTAAATAATTTATAAAAAATTTAGAAATTAACTCTAAACTAAATTAAAATTGAAAAGGAAACAGTGATGTGTTTGTGTCAATGCCAACTGGGGCAGGTAAGTCCCTTTGTTACCAACTACCTACAATGGCAAAATCGGGTATTGGCCTCGTGATATCCCCTCTTATCGCCCTCATCAATGACCAGCTTGCCGGTTTGAATAAATTAGGCATACCTGCCTTGACCATTAATTCAAAACTTAATGCTGCTGAAAGGAAAAGGGTAATTAAAATTAATTTATGATTTTTTTTGTATGTCAAATTTTGTATATTAGTTCTTAATTAAAGATATTAGATGTTACTACCATTGATTAATTGTATTTGTCTCGTGTAATTGTAAAAATATGATTAATATTAAGTTTAATTTTTTCATTCACTAGGTGATGTTAGACCTAAAAAATGTATCCCCAACTACAAAATTCCTCTACATAACACCAGAACAAGCAGCTACACCGACATTTCTCGACATTACCAAATCTCTACACAAACGAAACTTACTACTCTACATAATAGTTGACGAGGCCCATTGCGTTTCACAGTGGGGACATGATTTCAGACCTGACTACCTAAAATTAGGAAACTTTCGAAAAATTTTTGGCAATGTACCTTGTATAGCCCTGACTGCTACTGCAACACAAAACGTAGTCAATGATATTATTAGTAATCTGTCACTGAAGAGGCCTATTGCAATCTTCAAAAGTTCATGTTTCAGAAGCAATTTATTCTATGAGGTTAAATACAAAGATTTACTTGGCTCTCCTAAGGATGAAGTTAAAGATCTGCTGGAGTTTGTCAGGAAATGTTTGAATGTTGTGAGGGTTGGAGATGAGAAGGACATTAAAGATTGGGTAGGTATGAGTTGTTTGTTTGGGTAAACATGAGTTGTTTGTTTGGTTTAATTTTCATAGCCGAATGATTTTTTAGTTTTGGTATGAAATGTTACAGATATATTTGAGATTGAAGTTGATTTTATCCTTAAGAACTGTGTGTTTATACTATCTGGTGATAAAAATATTTCAAATCTATGATCTAAATCATACATTAATTAACATTTTTTTAAGATTTAAATATTTCTAACAAAACACCAAACATTAAAACCACCACAATGGCCACATAACCACTAAACGCTCCCCAGAAACCACACGGTTGTGGCATAATCTACTGCAGAACTCGGGACAAGTGCGATGAGCTGGCAGAGAGATTGACCCTGGAAGGGTTCAATGTCAAGGCCTATCACGCTGGTCTCAAAAATGACGTCAGAAATTCCGTGCAACAGGATTGGCTGGATGGAAAGGTGCCCATTATAACTGCTACCATTAGTTTTGGTATGGGAGTCGACAAGCCAGATGTCAGGTTGGTCTTTCTCCCAATTATTCATTTTTCTTATTTTATAATAAATTTAACTATATATCATTATTTTTCTGATTTTAAATTTGATAATCATTCTCGTGTACAGATTTGTAATCCACTGGGACCTGCCTAAATCGATGGCCGGTTATTACCAGGAGTCAGGGCGAGCTGGTAGGGATGGGCTGAAATCCTATTGTAGGTCTGTTGCTGTTTCTTTTTCTTTCTTTTTTCATATTTTTGTTTATGCTTCTTTCAAATAAACAAACAATGAATTGTTGAAGTGTGTATGCAATTTATTTTCCTTATTAGTATATAATTTTTATTTAATATTATATAATTATTATATATTTATATTATAATTATATACATATATTATATAATTTGTCTTTTTATTTCATTTTTTTTATTTATTTCTAGACTTTATTATTCCATAAAAGATAAAAATACATTGGCCTACTTGATACAAAGTGAGATGAATGCATCAAAGAATAAGGTTTATTTTTTTTTATCATTTTACTCTCTTAACTTTTTGATTTTATTTCATTGCTTTGAGGTTTTAAATAAAGTAGATAATAAATAATTTTTAACATATTTTGAATAAAAAATAGATTAGTTATTTCTTCCAAAAATAGCATTTAAGTTAAATCAAAAATTTGCTATGAAGCCAATTAGTGAATAGATGCTTTTAAAAACCAATCATTGAATCATTCCAAATCAGAAATACCTATTATATATATATCATATGATACCATTAAAATCCAACTATATTAATAATTATTATTAAATTATGAGAGGAGAGTACACAGCAATGCAGCAGCAGCAGCAGTAGGAGAAGCAGCTGTGGTGGCAGCAACAGAAGAGACAAATGTTCAATGCAAAGTTTTGAGTTCCTTGTTAAAATGATCGAAGAACCACAGTCAGTTTGTTCAGAATTAGTTTCTAATTAGAATTCTTTAATCTATTTGGTTTGGATAAATTATTTTGAATGGAATTTTTATTTTAACAAATAGATCTATGTAATTTTCAATTCTATTATGCTATTTGATTCAATTTGTTTCATTTCCTATTCACGTAGTTAAAGCTTGTAATTGACAAAAGTTTAATTTATCTTTCTCCAATTCGTTTTTCTTCCATTTTATTTTTCCCACAGATGTCGCCACAACGCCATCTCCTCCTACTTTGGCGACCAGCCAATCGACTGCAACAGGTCATGTGACTTCTGCCTCGATCCCCGAAAAACCCAGAAACTTTTCGACTCGATGATGAGGGCACAGTCTTCGTGGAAAGTCGGGAATACAGGGTTCGGTGTGGGGACAGACAGTTACGATGATGATCTTTACGGGGGCGGGAGATATGGAGCAAAAAGGTGAGAGTAGTGTACGTTATAACACAAACAAAGAAATAATGGTAAATAATGATAATTTCCAAATTGGAAACCGACCAATCAGAGAGAGTGACGAGTATGAAGATGGTGGGTATTACAACAGCAGCAGCAGTCGAATGGAGGAGAGAGAGAAAAAAGAGAGAAGGCAAGTTATTGAAGAAGAGTTTGAAAGAAGGAGAAAAGTGAGGTGTTGATGTTTTTGTGAGGGGAAGGCTATTTTATGGTGACATTATTATTATTATTACTGTTGTTGTTGTTGTATTGTTGTTTTTATTATTATTATTCCATTGTTAATGTTATAAGTAGCATAAGCAGTGTTTTTGTAATTGTGTACAGTGTTGTTAAAAGTCAGTGAAACTTAGTTTTTAGACTAGAAAATTTATCATTTTTAGCTCCCCTGAGTATGAAAATGTATAACTTAGTAATGGAAATCTTGACCTTTATGATATATAGTACCTCGAATCGAGCGAGTAGTTATCATTATATATTACTATAGTTCAATTTTTATGGAACGTGGCGTTAATATAGTGAATTAGGCTGGTAGTTTTTTTTGTATTGGATTCACATAGTACTCAATATCTTGGTCATGAAATTGTATAATTTGGTAATGGAAATCTTGACGTTTTTTTAAAATAGTATCTTGAATTGACTGAATAGTATTAGATCTAGAAGTCTGCTTTCATTTAATTTTGATAGTTTCTAAATGTATTAAAACGTTTAATTTGTTAGTCTTTCAATTAGACTCTGTTTTGTTCCTTCAAAATAATTGATCTTTCTATATACTATAGACATATTTTTTTCTCATCTATTGATATATCAATATCTCATTAAGCCGATACAAAGTTGAAGGTTTCTGCTCTGCTCTAATCACGTCAGTAATTATCCCATGAACTTCAGAGATGTGATAATTACATGTAACTGTCATAGTTGAGTCATCAAGCTGCTATCAATTATTATTTACCAGCATAATTACGCTGAGATTAATTTAGAAAGCCACGTTTATTCCATTTAAATAATCCTTCCAATTTAGATTTAATCTTTTGAACTTTCAGAGGTAGCATCGTTCGTGTCGTGTAATTGAATTTTTTTTTGTTCTTTGACAAATTTTTATTAAACGTTTTTTGGTTTTCTTTGAATTTTATCAATAAATTGCGTGTGTCTTTTTATTTGCTACCATTTCGAGCCAGAAACCTTTTAGATTTTTTTCAATGATTTGGTGGAGACAGTTTTTTTCATCAATTTTTTGGCAAGAAATTCGCCAAAGTCGTTTTTCTTAAATAAATGTCGGATTATTTTATTGATTTTATTAATTTTTTTGATTGGACTACAGTCAGCCAATAAGTATTCATTGTTGGATATTCAAATCCAGACAGCCAATAGCCAGTCAGTAATGAATGCAGCCGTCTGGATGCCAGCCAGTAGGGACTGTCCGTTGAAAAATGCCAATGATCAAAAAATTCCCGGTCTAACCGTTAAAGTAGTTTTTTTAATTACCTTAATTAAATTGAATTATTTTAGTATCAGAAAAATTTATATATTAATTTATTACTTAATTAATTCAATTATTTTTCAATTAATAATATAAATTTTTTTGTCTAAAAAAGATAAGAGAGAACTGTATGGAAGTAATAGAGGCAGCTTTGAAAAGCAATATCGAAGAACATAATAGAAATAATAATGATAATGAAAATAATAATAATAATGTATTTGTACCAATTGAGATGGCTAGGGAGATTGCAATTGAAGAGGAGGCGGATATATTTCACGTTAACATTTTTTTTATTAATAATATTTTAATTATTTATTCGGAATTATTTATAATGGTGGTAATTTTGTTGTTGTTTTGTTTTGTCATCATCTTTTTCAAGATCGCAGTAAGCTCACTCATTGTCATCATTCATTCACTATTTATCCTTCACTCTTTGTGTCTTTACCCCCTATCCACTTTATCATCATCCTCACCGTATACATTCATCCATCCATTCATTCATTTATCAATTCATTCAGTTAGCTACTCATTCATCCATACATTCACATAGACACTCATTCATTTATTCATTCATTTATCCATTCACTCATTCATTTATTCAACCATTCATTCATCCATTTAGTCATTTTTTTATTCTACCATTCATTCTTTTAGCTACGCATTCATCCATTTCATTCATCCATTCGTTCATTCATTCATCCATTCATTCCTTCACAGTTGAGTAAGTTCATGACGATATACAGATCTAGATGTATAAAGAAGTCAGCTGATATTAAAAAAGTCACCAGCTCAGGGAAGTTGTACGAAAAATTGATGACAGGCAGAGGCAAAAATGCTGACGACGACGATGGTTATGGTGGTAAGAATGATAATGGTAGTAATTATAAATCTTCGTCCTCTTCGTCATTAGTGACGTCATCGTCGTCGTTGTCATCATCTTCCACATCGTCTGTTTTCATGACTGCTAGTTCATTGCTGTTGATGAGTAGAAACCGCAATGATAACAATAGTAATAATAATAATAATGATAATAATAATAGTAATAATAATGAAAGTAATGAATTGACAAAGTGCGGTAGTAGTAGTGGTAGTAGTAGTAGTGGTGGTAGTTTTAGTAGTAGTACAGCTAATGACAATATTTCTAACAGTCTCCTAAGTAACAGTAAGTACTTACATGTTCATAATAAAAATAATAATTACCATGATGATGATGATGATATAGATTATGATAATGATGATGATATAGATTATGATAATGATGATGATGCTTGTGACGATGGAGTAATTCCACAGCCATCGTCATTAACTATAGCAAAAAGAATTTCTTTTGTATCATCATCATCACAACTTCCATCATCATTATCAACAGTAGCTTCGTCATCATTATCATCATCGTCGTCTTCGTCATCATCATCAACATCGTCGTCGGTAACATCACTATCATCATCAACAACTACATCATCGTCGTCGTCATCATCCAAAACGCGAATATCACACATAAGTAAGAATACACAAGATAGACGAAATATTATCGTTAATAATAACAGCAATATAAAAATTGATAATAGAAATAATAATAAAAACAATAATATCAATAAAAATAATAATAATAAAAAGAGGAAAAACAACAAAGAGGCGAGCGACAATAGGACGTTGGATTCGTTTTTCAAGATACCTGAGAAGAAGAAGAAGCCATTGAGTAGTGGCGTGGATGAAGATGACGCTGACACTAAAGTTGGTGTGGGCACGGGTGATATTTATGATAACAAAGCGGTCAGTATCACTAATGGTGACAATAATAATAATGGTGGTAATAATAATAATGATAATAATAATGGTGGTGGTGAAACTAAGTGGTGTACTGCTAGTTCTATTGAAACTGAATCGACACTGTCCTCGTGTAAAAATCATTCAAGGTCGTCACCAAGTGAAAATTATTCAAGGTCGTCACCACCAACTACGTTATCATCATTCTCATCACCAGCAACGTCATCATCATCGTCGTCATCATCAGCAGCAGTAGCAGCGGCATCATTATCGTCGACTACATCATCATCAACAGCAACAACATCGTTGTCTTCATCAGCATCATCAGCATCTGCCAAGAAAAAAAGGAAAGCTCCGGTGATAATTGATGGTGGTGGTGATAATGATAGTTCTCTGGCGAAAAGGTTAAAAGTGGATTGTAGTAACAACAAAACTAGCAATGCCTGTAATAGTGATAATCGAAATTACGACGGTAATGATAGCAAAAATGATAATTATTATTATACAAATATTAATAATATAAATAATAATTATATAGATATTAATAATAAGGATAATAATTATAACTATACAATTAATAATAATATGAATAATAATAATAATATTGATAAAGATGAACTAAAAAATGTGGCCAAGACAGTCGTTCTTACATTAAATCCACTATACAAGGATGGAAAATTTAAATCTAAGGTTGTTGTTGATGATGATGAGCGTGATGATGAGTATGATAATGACGTCATTACTGAAAATTATGGTGACGATTTTAATTATAATTAGTAATTATTATAATTATATTTTATTATCTTTAAAAAATAGGAGTCATTCAAGAAAGTAGCCAGAAGGCTCTCCCATGCTATAATCAAGTCCGGCATATCTTGTGATGATTGTTAGTTATTATTATTATTTAAAAACTTTAAAAGATTTTGAAAACTAAACTAACCAATCGAGACAATTGTCTGTATTATTTATATAATTATTTAATTAATTATTTATTATTAATTATTTAATTATAATTATTTTTATATTGTTATCGTTGTATAATTGCAATAATATTTAAAAAAAAACTAAACTAACCAACTGATCAAATTCAGGGAAAGATTTTGTTATCAAGAACCTGGATGATTTTCTGGATTCCCAGTCCTAGGGTAGTAATTTGGAATTTCCAATTTCACTTTTCTGATATCATATCATTTTTATATTATTATCATTTATATATGTCATTCTTTGTATGGATAAGTAGATATTTAGCAATGGTTTTTTGTAATATTAATGGCTTGGTTGAAGTTATCGATTTGTGAATTAGAGTATTGGAATAAAATGTTAATTATATTGAGTTATAATGTTAATAGGATGATAGAAATATTAATATGAATTAGTAATTAAAATAACCGTTAATTAAATTGTATGTTAATAAATTGATATATTAAAATATACCCTTCTTTTTCTTATAGGAACGTCAGAAAAGTAGTCATCATCGTCATTTCATAACCTAAAGCCCGAAAAATAACGACAAATCAATAAAAACGAAATAAACAATTGGAACAATTTCTTAGGAACAATTAATTAATTATCGTATTAAATTAAAATGTAAATTATATTAATGACTAAGTTTTCAAAATAAAATTTGCTGTCTAAGATTTTAAAGTTCGTTCAATTAATACACGAACGAATGACTCAATGGTTTCAAGTAGTTATGCTATAAAGATTTCTTTTCTAAAAAGTTTGAAACATAATATTAATAATAATTAAAATTAGTTTTAATTGATATAATTTCAAGTAATATTATTTCAATTAATATTATTTCAATTAATATAATTATATTCAAATATTAGCGAGGGATTGGTGATTAATGAGATTCACTTGCATAAACGGATAGCACGTACAATCGTCGCATGGTAAATAGTAAAGCGTTTAGTCACTTTATTATCATTATGTATACATGACATGATTCATTAAATAATAATAATATCATTTTCTATAGCGCCGTGGCAAGCGACTGAGGCGCATTATCATTATTACAACAAACACGTAAGTCAACGCATCACACACTTTTGCATGCGATAGGCGGGGATCTTTTTGCATTCGAACCCGGACACTGCATCAACAATGTCGGGCACCTTAGCCATTACACCATGGCGCCGCCCAAACGGACACATTAGTCACGTCATCATCGCAATATATTGTATGAAAAAAAACAGTTTGTAATTGCTAAAAAGATTGTCAACCTTATCATTTTAATCATCATCACTCTAGTCATTTCATCACCATGTTTGCAATGAAATATCACATTATCGTCGTGTGTGTATATATAAAGAGCAGTAAAAAAAGATCTGTATCAGACATTATATTAAGAATCCATTATTACATTTACTCATCGTCAAACATTGTCATTATCATGTGAGCCGACTAAAATTTATGGCAGTATAATCTCGATCATCATTCTTATCATTGCATCATCATTATTATTATTATTACTATACCATCATTATTATCAACATCAACATTGTTATCAACATGAACATTATCGACATCAACAGTTAGCCGACAGAACTTCCAGCTTTTCCACCGACGATTACGTCATCACTTCCGGCATACTTGTCGACGTCACCATCCTTCAATCGTTTTCCGGCTCTCGAATTAATTTCACTTTTAACTGCGTAAAACCACCTAGCGATGGGCGTATGATTCAGCACATCACTAAAAGCGGCCGTACCCTCCATGGCGTTCAGCACCCCGTACACTGCCAAATCCGCCAAATTCGGTTCCTTACCTCCGTAAAATATTTCCTTCTCAAGTGTAGTGTTTTTGGTAAATTTAGGACTGAATATAGTGTCTTTTTTCTGTTCTTTGCTTGTCTTATCTGTGGAGGAGATGTTTCTGCACCATTCGTTGCAAGCTTCATATAAACTGTCTCTGACATCATCAGGAAGTTTGTGACGACGTTTTAAGATTTTCCCGACGAAGTACATGGCGGCAGAGCCAACTATGACAATGAGGTTTGTATGGAAGGTCCCAAAAATCTCCTTCCATTCTCCTGTCTGTTTTGGTAGGTTGTGTTGCTTGTTGGTATGTTTTTGTAACTGTGGAATTGTATTCGTTGTTTGTATGCTTGTTTTTTATAAGCGTTGAATTGTATTTGTTGTTGTTTGTATGTATGTTGTTATTGGCTAATGTTAGTGTTAGTGTTTGTTGTTGTTGTTGTTGTTGTGTGATGTTAGATCAATGCTACATGTGTGTTTGTGTATGTATGTAGAGGTACCTTGGCAAAAACCTGGAAGGTATCATAAGCTTCCATTGGAGATCTATAGATATTTGGTGAAATCCTATGGACTAACATGTTGTCCGTCCATTCACGCCATCTTTGAACTTTCTGGTGAGTTTTGAATTTTATAAATTTTTTTGATGTTTTTTTTTAAATTGTAGTAACAAAAATTTCATCGAAATATATTTTAAAGTAAAAATTGAAAAAAGAGATCTCAGTGCCTTTAGAATTGTTTTGAGATAATAACAGCAATTGATAGGATTTTAACAACCGTTATATGTGATAATAAAATGCTAAAGTTTAAAATAAATGTATTTCAAGTAAATTTTTAATGACATAAGCAAACATGTAAGTTAGCTAGAATATGGTACTGAATTGAAAATCTGAATCAGATCCAAGGAAACATTCATATTAAGAAATTTGAATAATCCTCATCACCTGTTGATCATCTGGAACTTTCTTGTCAGCGCCATACATGATGGAGTACTTGTTCTCAAATTGCATCACCATCTTCCCTTTAACATTCTTTACTTCATAACTTGGATAATATAAAGCTACTTTCTCTATAGACTGATTCGGTGGTTTCTCCAAGAAATACGTTTCGAGACAACTGATGATGACTGATGAGTCATTTAGTTGTACCTCTTCTTTGTCCCCAATACGACAGGATAGTATTGGGACTTTTTTATAAGATGACCATTTTATTTCTTTCTGTGTGACTGAGTTTACTTCTACTATGTCATATGAGAGTCCTACAAACAAAAAACGTTTACTTTAATAAAATGAAAAAAATTTTTTTAATTTGAAGTCAATTTTATTGATGAAATAGTGAAATAGTAAAAAAAATGTTCATTAAGAAAAGATGAACTATGATAAATAAATGAACTATTAATTACTATACTATATTATATTACATTATTACACATGAGTTATCTATCAGATCACATGTACACGCACACGATTAACACACACACCACACCACACACACACACTTAACACACACATCATACCACACACATGCATTTAGTATACCTTTGAAATCCAGGTAGGCCCGAACTTTACAGCAGAAAGGACAGGACTGATACTGATACAATGTTAATTTCAAATTGTGGTTGTTGTCTGTATTGCTCCTTATGCGCTTTGTTACTTTTATAGAAGTTTTCTTATCAATTGTATGCGGTGGGGACGATAGGGCGCGTATTGTGTGCTCGTCTGCGCTATTATTGTAGTAGAAATACAACATTGTACCCGCCGTAACTCCAAGACCTGCAACTAAGACGGTCGATGGCTTCTCTGACCATTTTTTTGGTGAAGAGGTTCTCCAATTTCCTAAGTTTTTACAATTATTAAAATATTTAAATAAATTTTTATTGGACGATTTGTTCGTCTTCGTCAGGATGCAACGGATTAGGGCGCAGCGAAGCATCCTTTTACTTAATAGAGACGATAAAACCAACGTAAATAAACATTGAAAAAAGAAATTTTTTTTTAAATCGGATTCAGCTAAGTACTCTTTGGACATCAAAATTTGTTTTATTTCAAATATAGTTGTAATAAAGTGATTTTTCATTGAAAATCTGTATAGAAATTGTAACATTAGTTCTTAAAAGTTTCATAGAAACACCTTTAAACAGATATTAGCGATGTAATTTAATGAAGTTTATGTAACCTTAGCTAGCAGTGAACGCTTTAAAAATAAATAAACTTTCTTCATGTGCTGTTACGAAAAGGCGTTGAAAAAGGAAACTAACATATAATTTATTTTCTTCATCTTCATTTTTAAAGTTATGTTTGCAAGGCATTTCAAGAATTTAACATTTTCCGTGTCCAGACTAAACAGCCCCAAATGTTTTTCAAAGGTTCCCATCAAGGCCGATCCAATTTTTAAAAAGTATGTACCCCGGAGGGCTGTACTCTACGTACCCGGCAGTGACGAGCGTAAAATTAGTAAAATTCCCAATCTAGATGCCGATTGTGTCGTGCTCGATTGCGAAGATGGTGTGGCCGTCAGCAGTAAGGTTGCCCATTTTAAGTGTTCAAAACTTCAAATTAATTATATTATCAAATCAATTATTTATTTCAAGTTTTTAAATTCAGTTTCCTAAAAGAATTGAGTTTAGTAATATCAAATTGATTAAATTCATTTCTCAGTGGTTTCATTAAAATGTAATCATTACATTTTTTATTTACATTTCATTAAAATGTAATCATTACATTTTTAATGTAATGATTACATTTACAATATCAATTATACATATAAATGAATAATTATTGTCACACACAGGAAGCTGCCAGGGTCAACATTAAAAAAACACTCGACACATTACATTTTGGTCGAACTGAACCGATCGTACGCATCAACTCAGTGTCCAGTGGATTAGGGAAAGAAGATTTACAAGTTGTTCTAAGTGCCAGCAACCTGCCTCCAACACTCATGCTTCCAAAAGTTGAGATGGCATCCAACATTGAATGGGTAACCTTCAGTAACTTACAAATAATATTTCGATTGAATTTATTCTTCAACTACTTTTTTTATGTTTTTTTTCATTTTTGAATCATCATGTGTACCTTTCATTGCCTAGCTAGCTGAAACAGTGGTGTCAATATTGGAAGGCATGAACAAGGAGAAGCACAGAATGTTCAACTTGATAATCTTCATTGAATCTGCTCTGGGTCTGTTGAACTTTGAAAACATCTGCAGACGATCTGTTGAGTTGATGGAGTTGGGAGTTCCATTGTCTTTGGAGGGTGTTGTATTTGGCTCTGATGACTTCTGTGCTAACATTGGTGAGCAAAATTCAAGTGCTTCCTTAATTTATTGAAAGTTTTTTTTCTACTATTAGAAAAAGGTCATTCTTTTCTTTTAAGATTGAGATTATTTTTCCTAACTAAATAGTTTTATTCATTGAGTTTTGTATTAATTCAATTGCTAACAGGAGCTGAAAGGACAAAAGATGCCATTGAGATAATGTATGCCAGACAGAAGGTTGTGCTAGTTGCAAAAGCATTTCAGATGCAGGCTATTGATCTTGTCCACATTGATTTCAAAGGTTATTTTCAGTACAATATTTTTTAGCTTCAGTTTTGTTGTCACAATCCTTAGAAGTTTTTTTCAAATTATTTCTACTTGATTTTTATCTTGATATTATATAGTGCATAGTGCTCAATCTAAATGCAACAAATTGTTATTGAAATTTTGTTAATAACATTTAAATTGTTATTGAATTTGTTTTAAAATTCCTGATTGATGAATATAATGATACCACAGTCAGGGCCATATATTTTCAATCAATCCTCATTTATAGTCTTCTCCCGTTTCTGGTTTGACTTTTGTATTCCTGACATCAACTTTTGTCTCCATGCCTCTTGTTGAGATTTAGTGCCTTCAGGCCTTCCTGTATTGTTTGCATCTAAGACATCTTTGGGTGCAAGGCACCTGATGATTCGTTACAGGGATTATTGTCCCATCTTTGCTTCATTTGACATGACCAACGTTGATAACGGCGTTGACAAGCATCTTTTAGGGACCAAGACCATATATTTTCATTAAAATATTTCCAAACTTAATCCTGTAAAGATTTAGAAGGCTTACGACAGCAGTCGTTAGAGGGAGCAAGAATGGGATTCACAGGCAAGCAAGTTATCCATCCCACCCAAGTTCCTGTCGTCCAGGAATGCTTCACTCCATCAGCTCAGAGAATTGACTGGGCCACAAGATTGATTGCTGGCTTCAATGAACACCAAGCTCAAGGGAAGGTTATTGATTAGTATTTGAAATTCATTCATTGTTTATTTTTCATCAAGTTTCTCCAAATTTTTTAATGCAATAAGTTATTTCATGGCTTTTTCGTTGGCTCTTAGTAGAGTTGATTCCGTGTAATTCAAAGCAATTTTTTGTTTTGTTTGTGTTATTTAGGCATTTCAGTTTTCATCAAATGCACTTTTGATAATTTTTTAGAATTATTCCTAAAATAAAATTGTTTTTCTTTTTCGTTAAGGGTGCCTTTGTTTTTGAAGGCAGCATGATTGACATGCCTCTCTTGAAACAAGCTCAGAACATTGTCCAGTTAGTGGAAAGTCTCAAAAAGGTGACCATCCCAGAAAGCCAGGCAGCTACTGAACCTGCGTCAGAGACAGCAAAAAAAGACGCTACTGCAACGAATAATGCTGCAAATTAATTACATGCATGCATGATCATTGATGGATTTTATGATAAATTTCTTGTTAATCATTGCTAATCTTGTTTGTTTAATTTATTATACTGTTATTTTTTTTTATCAAAATTTCACAACAGTAAAATTATGCAAATAATGGATTGTTTTTCAATTTTTTTCTTTATTTGTTCCATTTGTTTGGCTGAAAACTCATTAGTACATATACTTGTACATTTGTATTGTGTATGACGCATAATTATATGTATATATTCATATACGAAATATATTTTACTCCACATTTGTGACGTATACCCCAAATTAGTGTCCTTCAAAACGCCTACCTTTATTGCATATCGTAGACTTGGATTGATTGTCCTTTAATTTTTATTCACATCCATACCAAAGATAACTCGATGACCGAGAAATACCTATCTATAAATCGTTAGTAAAAAAATTATATTCTACCTACGGACAATAGAATTTTATTCACATAAATTCAAGGCAGCAAATGGAATGTATTATAATCATAGGTGGGTATATGTATCGATAGATGTATATACATATATATATATCCATATATTTAGAATATAACATTTATGTAACATAATATAATATAACAATGATATAGATATAACATATAATATGAAATACGTATATTATATACATGTGTATACGTCCATGAATATAATGGTAAAATGATCTATGCTGGATGAAGAAAATTATCGCTTTTACACATTTTACCGTTCTTTGGCCACCATCTTCTATAAATAAAATTTCTCGTAGTTTTCTTTTTTGGGTTTACGTACGTTAAAAATTTCTAAAAATTTGTTAAAGATTTATCGTGATATTTTAAATCCTGTTTGAAATGGAGTACGTAAAAGCATTCAGCGAGGAGGTTTGTTGGATTTTTGTTAATTTAGTAAAATTTCGTAATTCGCTGCGATTAGGAAAATTAGGACATTTTTTGTGTTAGTTGCAAATTTACTTTAAATTTTTTAGATCCAGTCCCTCTACGAGTCAAAGCCTCCGGTGTCAAGGGCTAAAATGGCAAAAATCACGAAACTGGCTTTAAAGAGTGTAAAATATTACAAGCACATAGTACAAATTGTTGAAAAGTTTGTTTTCAAAGTAAGTTTGACTGAAGTGTAATTTTACCAATTTGTTTAAAATTTTATTGTCAAGTCATTTTTTTTTTTTATAAGCTATGGTATGAACAATTTTTTGAAATGTTTGTAAACCAAATTTACTTGCAGTCACCTGCAGAATACAAAATACCTGGATTGTATGTGATGGACTCCATTGTGAGGCAGTCCCACCACCAATATGGACAGGAGAAGGATGTCTTTGCAGAGAGGTTTTTGAGAAACTTGTCGAGGACATTCGAACATTTTCTGCATTGCCAAGAACAAGAAAAGGTAATTCTGAAAATTTCTTTATTTAGAGATGATCAAATCAATTGTAAAAATTAATAGTAATGGTAAAAATTTGTAATAATTATCAAAGTTATTGAAAATGGGTAATTTAATGTTTAGTGGTTTTATGAAATATTAAATTTAAATTAGGCAAAAATTGTAAAAGTGCTCCAGCTGTGGCAGAAGAACTCCACATTTCCTGCAGACACTGTTCAGAAGTTGCTCGAGACCATTGAAAAAGATTCTTCTGGTAAATTATCTCAATCTTATTTTTAGAATTATTCTGTTAACAAAGATTTTTAATTAAATTTATTTTATTATGACTTGAATGTTATCAAAATATGAATTTTATTTTAAACAGGATTATATTATAAAAAAATTGTCATTTTAAAAACAGAAGACAACTCGAAGACAACTCCATCAATGTCGATGTCACCTCAACACACCAACAACGATGTGTCATCAGAAGATAACATCAACTATAGTGACAACAACAACAATAATAATGACAGTAACAACAACAACGATGACAACATCAACTCTAGTGACACACAACAAGAACCCCAAACGTTTCAGCAGTCGGAATTTATCAATGCATTTACTCAGTTGATGCAGTCTGCTGCAGCTGATGTGCGTGATTTTTCATTTTTTCTATTTTTTTCTCCTTCATTTGGTTAATGTTTTGTTGCTCTCATTAGAATGCTATTGAAAATTAAAATGACAGGCTGTCCCAGTCGAGCAGCTGCTTCAACAGGCAGCTACCAGCCAGCCACAGCTACTTCCACAGCTGACACAGATCATCAACATGTACAGGTCGAAGCAAGCTCAGCCATCGTCATCTGCAACCGACCACCACCAACAGCAGCAGACATTGACGTCTAAAGAGGAAAAATCGTCACTAACTGTCTTTCCGTTGTCGTCTAATTTTCCAGATCATCATAAAAAAAAACACGAGAACTCTTACGTGCTGTCACCAACGACGTCATCACCGTCTCTTCCGCAGATGATATCCCCAGTGACATCAGCGTCACCTTTGGTTTCTCCGACATTACCATCAAGTGCCGTGAAACCTGTTCCTGCCCCCGTACCCCCTCCATTGTTACCCCCGTCGTTGCGTTCTTCACCACCTTCTTTGTTTTCCGGATTGGCAAGTAGGCTGCCGAATAATTTGATGTCCATAAGTATGCACTCCCACTCCAATGTTGCCTTCCAGTTACCATCATCTTCTTCTTTGTCCGGGTGGGTTCATGATTGACTGAACAAATAATTGAATGGATTTGAAGGAATAGATGGATGAATGAATGAATGAAAAAATGGTAGAAATGTTGCAAGTATAAATAAATGGAAAACTGGTTTAAATTACTTGGTAGGTTGCAGCACAATGAGCAACAGTTCTCGACATCAATTCCTGTCAACGAAAGGATGAACAGCCTCAACACGTCTCTAGACTCCGACTTGCATGATAATAAGCAACAGCAGCAGCAACAACAACAACAAACCTCGATGGATTTGGAGGAAGGCGAGATGCATGACGACGACGACACCTACATTGAGACCGTGCCACTTGGAAGTGACATCAGTTACGCTGCACCGGCGACATCAACCCATTACAATGATGACAACTTCAGCAACAACAACAACTCATATAATAATAGCTACACTGATGGCGAAAAAAACTTGTATGTACAAGAACACCGAAGACGAGATCAATATCATCATCAGCATCATCATCTGCAGCCGCAGCATTATTACCACCATCAAGTCATTGGAGAGGACAGCTACAACGACCAAGAAGATGATGTCACTGCCAATTTTAGAGGCTACAGAGGTGAGAGAAGGATGGAAAGGAAAAGGAGGAGATCACCTAATGATGATCGGTGGGTTTTTTCTCATTTTAATTTTAATTGTTCTTTTTTAATTGTTGTTATTATGATTTTGTTGTTCCCATTATTAATTAATTAATTGATGTAATCAATTATGCTGAAAAAAATTTTTTTTACTCATCAGAAGCAGAGTTAAATCTCACAGGTCCAAGTCGATGGATAAGAAAAGGAGGTTATTATTATTATTATTATTATTATTATTATCATCATCATCATCATCATCATCATTATTATTACTTTTATTGTTTATGATGTTAGTCATTATGATGATGAAAATGTTTTAAATTCAGATAAGCTTATTCACATCATGAACACATACACATACTTGTAGAAACAGTTACAAAGGCACATACATACACTCATACAAACGTACGGACACACACACACACATATATATACAGACGTGTATAGATAAACACAAATATGTATACACCTACGTATACAAATGTGTACAAGCAGACACAAACATGTATACGTTTACACGTATATATAAATCTATGCAAACAGACACAAACAAACAAACACATACATCCAAACTCATTTATTTTCTTTCATATTTTGTTCTGTCCTATTGTTTTTTTTATTATAAATAAATTATGAAATAATTCAATAAATATAGTACCTTTAAATAAAAATAATTTTTGATTAAATTATGAAATAATTCAATAAATATTGTAAATTTAAATAAAATAATTTTTGATTAAATTATGAAATAATTCAATAAATACAGTAACTTTAAATAAAATAACTTTTGATTAAATTATGAAATAATCCAATAAATATTGTAACTTTAAATAAAATTATTTTTAATAAAATAATTTTCAAATGAAGGACTAGAGATAGGTCAAACAGTCCTGAAAAGAGGGGAAGACATTCTCATTATAGTGACATCCTAAACGACGACGACGTCAATGATGAGAGACGAAGAAATGACCATAATAATAATGATAATAATTATTATTATCATAATAATAATAATAATAATAATAATAATAATGATAATGATGATGATGATGATGAGGGTAGAAGAAGGAGAAGAAGAAATAATAATACCAATACTGATGATGATTACAACGGTGACGGTTTCGATAGAAAGAAGAGAAGGAGGAATAACAGTGATGATGATGGTGTTAGATCTGTAGAGAAGAAAGTAGCACCATCTGTACCATTCCTACCTGAACATGTTCTCAGTATGTTTTTTTTTTGTAGTTTTTTAGCTTTCGTTGCAAGACTAGTGTAATTATTTTTTTTCGCGTTTTTTTGGCTTTGATTGGTGTTGTACATTTGTTTTTAATTTTTTTTCTTTATTTTTCTTTTTTATACTGCTTTGGTGTTTTGTTTTATTTGCTTTTGTTTTTATGTTTGTGGTTAGTTTTAATTGTGAATTGTTGTTTTGTAGGCTGTTGTTTGTGGCTGTAAATACTTTTATACATAGACGCATATAAGCATGCACACATACAAACGTATACAAACGCACATACAAAAACATACAAACTCACAGTTCGTTCTACCACCATCTGGCTTGGGCACTTGAACAAGCACACTACTGAGGAGGAGCTGAGAAATGAACTGCATAAGTTTGGAAGTATCGTCTCTATGAATGTTAGTCTACATTTGTGTGTTCATTTGTATGTCTGTATCTATGTTTGAATGTTTGTGCGTCTATTGTATGTCGCAGCATGTTTGTACAATGTATTTATACAACAAGTGTATGTATGCAAGTGTACATCTGATGTCACATTTGAAATATTTTTGAACTGTCATCAATCATACTGATTCGTATGATAATAAATAATTCGCGTTTTCATCTAGTACCTTTTCATATTCATTCACACACACGCGCGCGCGCGCGCACACACATACACGCACACACACACACGCTCACTCGCAGTTGATACCTCCTCGAGGATGCTCCTACATTCAGTTCAGTCAGAGAGGAGAGGCTGAGAGAGCTCTGAAACATCTGAGAGACTTCAGACTTCGTGGCAGTAAGTGTAAGGTTAGTTGGTTTGGCCGGTTGGTTGGCTGGCTGGTTGGATGGTTTGTTGGCTGGTTGGTTTGGCTGGCTGGTTGGATGGTTGATTGGCTTGTTGGCTGTTTATTTGCTTTGATTGTGTTGATCTTTATAGTTTATTTCTTTTATAAATACACACATATATAAATGCATATATTTATAACTAGACTCTTATTTAATGGCTGAAAACACGAATGCCAGATTTAATTATAGCTCATATAAATAATATTATAATAAATTAATAAATAAATAAATAATAATAATTCATAATTTTTTCTGCATGCAGGCTGCCTGGGCCATGGGTGCTGGATTGAAGGAGGTCGAAAAGTTCAAGACACACTGGAGCACGGAGAAGGGGGTGTCGAACATTCCCTGGTCGCAAATTGACGGGTCTCTGAACTTGGATGAGTTAGCTGCCGGTGGGGTCCTCGTAGAGGAGTCCCTGTCCCAATCTATCGCCAGTTAGTGTCCAGGCGGGCTGATTTGTTGATCGTCCGTCACCCGTCTGTCTTTCTTCTTTCCCAGTTATATTTTTAAAATTTAGAAATGTTAATACATATGTCTGTATAGTTCTAAATAGTGAACAATTAATTGTTAAATGAACCGCCGAATGAGTTTTTAATTAAAAAAGAAAGATTAGTGTTATTTCCGAGACCTGTATTCGATGTGTGGTGCTGTATAATACGTACGTTCGTGTATCATCTTTCCTCATTTCAAAATAGGTGATCTTCTCCAGAAAAGACAACAGAAACAGAAACCGGAGCCACCAATTGTTAGCGATAGGCCCGCCCCTCTACCTCCCATGCCACTGAACTTCCCCCCTCCTCCTCCTCGACCCCCGTTGCCACTTACCGGTTTGCCATCTGTTTGTTTGTCTGTCTGTTTGTCTGTATTTATTTGTTTGTTTGTTTATCCATATTCATTTGTCTGTTTGTCTGTCAATCTATTTATTTGTCTGTTTGTTTGTCTGTATGTTTGTAAGTTTGTTTATTTGTTTATCCATGTTTTTGATAATTCTTTTGTTCACTAGTCTATTTTATACCAAATTATTTGTTATTTCTAGTATTCGTTTATCTATTTATCAGTCGCTAGAATAGCATTTTGTTCTGTCCTGGTTATGACATTAAACTGACCCTCACTGCCTTGTGAGTGATGTTGGATCATCAAAGGCTAGGCCCACCGCTTATAACTGGTTGCGTAAGGAAGGGCGTCCTGCGTAAAAATTAGCCAAATAAATTACTTATGATGACAGAAGTGACAATGGTTTCATCATAGGTAGCCACACGGCAACCCCCGATCTCGGGGAAAATGTCGTCTAAACGTGTGTTGTTGTTGTAGAATAGCATTTTGTTGCTTTGCAAAACTCTTCAAAATTTTTTTGTTTTTTGAAAACAGAAGTTTCATGTTTTGCAATGCTTTTTATTCTCTGTTAAATAATTTGGAAAATTTTTAAAACAACGACATTACCATTCACTCTTTTATTCATTCATTTGTCGGTCAGGTATAATGCCTCCTTTGCCAGGGATGATGGTGGGCCTGCACCCTCTACCCCTACCACCCCCACCTCTGCATGGTCTGCCCCTTCAGGTGTGTATATTTTGTGTATTCATGGGTATTTTGTGTGTATGAATGTGTTTTGTATGTATGTATGTGGTGATTGATTGATTGATTACTTGTTTGATTGATTAATTGTTTGTTTGATTGACTGATTGGTCTAATCAATGAATGTGTTTTGTATGTATGTATGTGGTGATTGATTGATTGATTGATTAATTGTTTGATTGATTAATTGTTTCTTTGATTGACTGATTAGTCTAATCAATTATTAAATTAATTCATCTTAATTTGATCTAATTACCCTTAATTCCGATTAATTCACCATGTTTCAATCTGAATAATTAATTAATTAATTAATTAACTAATCATCATCTATTTTAGTCGTTCAATAGTTCGTTCATTTGCTCAAGGTCACTCCGCCCCTGCCTCCATTCGGTGTCCACTTGCCTAGACCGCCCATCGTGACGTCATCATCCAACGATCGTGTGGGCCATGTTGCCACCCTACCCCACGATGGCGCCTCAAATTATGGACACAGAACGGGTAGGGGTTTTTGGCTGGTGGCGAGCTGACGATGGATGATGCTGTAGATTTAGGGTTATGGTGATTTTGATGGTGATGAAATTTATGGTGGTTTTTTTTGATGGTGTGGTGAGAATGATGATGTTGAAGATTTGGGCTATGGCGATTGTAATGGCGATAAAATTTTCTATGGTGATAATTATGATGATGTTTAATTAAGAGTTTAAGATGATTTTATTTTTGGTGCTAATTAGCTCAGATTGTCTTAATGTTATGCAAAAATCTCACCATTATACAAACATGCATTTATTTCATGCACACACCATTGTACAAAATCTTACACTTTGGTACACACGCACACACACCACACACACGCGCGGATACAAATTTTTCTACAGGTTTCAATAATTGGAAGCAGAACAGCAACGCAGCTTACAATGATAGAAGAATGGACAGAGGAGTGCAGAGAGGAGGGCAGAACGATGGATGGAAATTCCAAAACGACAGAAGAAATAATAACTGGAATTGCAATATTAACAGCAGTAATTATAATAATAATAATAATAAAAGTTGGGGTGAAAATAATGGGCAATCAAGAGGCAGAAAGAATTGGGGTAGAGATAATTCAAACTGGGAAGTAGCAAATGATGGTACCTTGGATGATGGAGCTAACAATGACTGGACTGATGCCTGCTGGACTGAAGATGTCGGCAATGACGCGACTACAGCAGCCACTACTGCTGATGTCGGGGGTGACGATGGGTGGACGGAAACATGGGGAGGCGAGGGAGAAGAAGATGGAGAAGAACAGCAGCAGGGGGATGAAAATTATGATGATTCAGCCTACATTGAGGAGGCATATGAGGAAGGTGATGGTGAAGAAGAAGGTGATGATGGCACAGCGCACGTTCAGTACTACGACCAAGGTCCCTACAACAGAAACAACCGCTTCAACAATAACTACAACAATTCCTACCCCAACAACAATAACAACCACAATCGGGGAGGTGGTTGGAGAGGTCGAAACTTCGACAACCGAAATCCACGGAATCGTACTAACTTGCCATGCAGCAACAACCTAAATGATGAGTACAACAACAGCAATGCCGGATTCAGAAGGAATCATTTTGGTCCCAGGAATTCTGCCAGTTACAACAAATACAGGCAGAGTACTTGGGAGACTGACTACGGATGGTCTGAATTTTTTGAAGGCGATCGTTTGGTCGTGGAAAAGGTTAATAACTTTGAGAGTGTCGTCACTGAAGACGTGAATAGTGAACGACAGACGACAGATGCACCACCACCACCACCGCCACCACCAGCTGCAGACAGTAATAAGTTTGTTCCTATTCAGAGAAATGTGAACCAAAAACCTCGAAAAAGTCGCTGGAATCAGGACGATGGCAATGACTGCCAACGAACGACTGCAGAAACTTTAAGTCAAGATGTTATCTCAATTATCGCTGAGGCCAGGGCGAATGATAGTTTAGCTGCCACTAATGTGGTTGCTGCTGCTGCCACAGCTACTGCTTCTAACGTTGAAGCAGCTAACAGTGATAGTAACATCGTGAAATGTGATATACCTATTGATCCTACAAAAGATGTCGCTAGTTGAACCGGAGAGCGTTTGGAAGTTGGCATGTAGGGAAGGAATGAATTTAGAATTGAAGATGTGAATGAACCGTACTTGACAGGATTGTATGCGTGTGCGTTCGTGTGTGTTCGTTTGTGTGAGTTAAACAACTGTGTTTACCAAACGTTATTGAGGGGTTGAATGAATGAATGAATGAGTGAATGAATGAAATTCATGAATGAATGAATGAATGGTTTACTGTTTAATTATGCCAATTTTGGCTGATTGGCTCGATCGATGAATTAGTATTTTATTATTTTAATTGTCAAATGATTAACTGATTTAATTGAAAGGATACTTTAACTGATAATAATTGGATGAATAGAGTGAATGAATGAATGAATTAATTAATTAATTAATTAACATTACTAACTGGAAATATTCGACGAGTTTGATTGATCATTATGTTGGCTTAATGTTTAACTTTATATATCTATACAAAAATGTTTTCTCTCAATAACGAACTTAATCGTTTGGTTGGTATCATTGTATTATAATGATATAATGGTGGTTTAAAGACGGCTTCGTTATTTTTTATTTATAATTTATTTCATTATGGTTTGCTGCTTTTTGAATTTTGTGGTTTTTCTTACCATAACTTCGTCATAATGTTTTACATGTATTGTATGTAAGGATGTAGATGTGTGTATGTGTGTGTGTGTGCTGTGATAATTATTGTATATATATATATATGTGTGTGTGTGTGTTTGTGTTAAAATCTGTATATAGTGAGTTTATAGGACAATGTTTGCTCCTTAAATATATTTAAGTTTGAATATGTAAAATATTTTAACAATATGATTTGATGTATTTTGAATTTCTCAAATAAATTCATTTATTTATTCAACTGAATAAACGAATTTCTGGTTGATTAAGTTTTTTTCTTTGTTTTTTTTTTGTTGCTTCTGATATCAATGGCAAGAATAAAGGTAAGGAACTTGGATGTGCAGATGTGCATGTAAATATATATGTGTGTGTGTGTACGTGTGTGTGTGTGTGTGTAATGTAATTTGGTACGTGTTAAACTCAAATTAAACTCCCAATTAATTTTAGTAAAAATTCTAATGTTACTATTAACAACTTTAGTCTATCTAACGATATCCATATGACGATACAGTTGACTTGCTAGCTCAGAGAGTAGGAGAGCTGTGTTTCCCGCCGTTGTCATTGTGCGGTGGTCTGTTTCGAATGCTGACAGTTCGTAACTGAAGAAATGTTATACATGGGCTTATAATGAGCTACTAGCGTCTGTGTTGTGTGGCGTGTTACAGATTTTTCAACGTGAAAGTTTATTTTTCATCAAAATCGGAACGACAGATTAGTGGCTTTACGTTTATAAAGATCAAAACATAGAAGAGAAGAAATTCGGTGTTTGGTTCATTGTGTCAACATACTATGATGGTTTGTGTGCGTGTATGAGTGCCTATGTGTGCGTGTGTCTGTGTGCGCGTGTGTCTTTGTGTGTGTGTGTGTGTTCGTGAAAATTCGCTTGCTGTCTGATAAAGAGATACACTTTATCGTCACTTTATTATTTTATAATAATAAAAATAATAATATTATTATTATTAATTTATTATTATTACGGATGTTATTTTTTTTGAAATTTTTCAAATTACTTGACAGACAATAAAAAACATCGATAATAAAAAAAAATGTTAACTTTCGCCATTACGTCAATAATAAATATCGTTGGAATATATTTTAGTATATTTTTTTATTTAGCGTGGCGAACGATTAAATTGATCACCTTTTGATTTCATTTTATCACCAACAATTTTTATTTCATTATTATTTCATTGTTATAATTATTATTATGAATATTAAAGATTTTCAAACTTTATGACGAAGTAAATATACGGATATATATATATATATATATATATATATCTATATATATATATATATATATATATATATATAATGAGAAATACCCATGGGTAAATATTAATAAAAACCGGCACTTGCTATAAATATTTTCGCCTCTTTTGCTTTCTTGATAAATAAATGTAACCAAATAGGAAAATTCAGTGAGATCCCCTAACCGATACAAATAAATATATATATATAAATTAATTAATTATATAATCATTATATAAATATAAATAATTAAATTATATTGTATATATATAATATATATCGAAGTTGAAAATACGGTGATGTCTTTATCTTAAAATATTTAAAAAAAATTAATTAAAAATTGAGATTCAATTTCACAGCTCAAATTGAAATATATACCACCAGCACAAGATACTAAATAAATGTTAAGATGAATTTATCAGACCTCCAAATGTGGTAGCGCAAGTGGCAAAGGTTCAATCACGTGCCATCGGTTTTCACGCGGTATGTAGCCTGTTCCAATGCTATTTTTGATGCAACCGGAAACTGCATAGTGCATATAGATGACCTGCTAGTCCTCCCAAGTAAAAATAACACCTCGAAAGATTCATCTTGCAACACTGGAAATTTATGAGATGATGGTTATTAGTACAAGACTGAATCACTTGTTAATTTCACATCGAAATATAAACAATTAATGTAAAAAAAATTGTAGAAATCCAACAAAACACCACAATACAATTTTTATTTTCGGAAATAACATAAAAAAGACTCATCGAGACTTACCGTATACTGTTAGTAGTGGCCGCTTTCGAACGCAAGAGGAACGCGCCAATCATATCACTTGCAACGTGTGGTTCTTCGATTCACATATGTTCATGAATACTCGCTGTGTGTTTCTTGCCGTTCATCACCTGACGCAAACAATTTGTACGTACACATTCGTGACGAAACAATACTCTCTTACTCCAAGATAATCTTCACGAATCATTATTTCATCGTGGGTAAACTCAATAAATCTACAATAATGATCAAGAATACATTTATCTACATGCATACACACACACACACACACACACACACACACACACACACACACACACAAACACACTCATTTCCTACAAGCATTTTTCCTACAAACAACAATTACATACACACGTAAGTACACACACAAACACGTACACACACAAAAAAAAAATTTTAGTTTCTTAAATTATCAGCATTTCATTGGAAAGTTCGAGCTGGCATACAAATATGAATTTATTACAGGCCAGGCAGTTTACGCTGCCAAAATTATATATTTCTTTGACAAAGAACACTCACAACAAAACTCAATTTATAATATAACATAAAACATAAAGTTTAATTGTTTTTTGGGCGGCCAGATGGTAAGACACTTGGTCTCAGAGTTGACATAACCGAGCTCGAATACAGGAGAGATCCTCGCCACATATTGCGTAGAATTACGTGCGTGCACGTACGCAATGGCGGATCTAAGAAATGAGAAATTGAAAATTTTTTTAATAAAAGTCAGAAATAGGACCGAAATCGACCATAAAAAGGTCGTCACCCACACAACCATCGTTTGTGTGGGTGTGTGTGTGTTTATGTGTGATTATGTGGGTGTATGTGTTTGTGTATGTTCGTGTGTATGTTCGTGTGTGTGTGTTTGTTTATGTGGGTGTGTTGTGCGCTTCTTTCACTTCAGAGGTGAGAAACAACCAGATCTTTGCAGTGTAAACAAACAAAAAACAGATGGAAGATGTGTGTGTGTGTGTGTGTGTGTGTGTGTGTGTGTCAGCGTGTGTATAAGCGTGTGAGCTTGTATGTGTGTGTGTGTGAGTGTGATTCAATTTTTCGAGAAAATAAAAGTTGATGTGTATTGTGTATTCACTCTCTCTCTCTCTCTCCTCTCTCTCTCTCTGTGTGTGCGTGTGTGTGGTGTGTCTGTGTGTGTCTGTGTGTGTATTTGTGTGTATGTATTTACCACGGTTTTGTTGTTGTTGTTGTTAGTACTGCTTAAAATGTTGTTAAACGTCTCGAGATAATGTTTTTTATGATAATTAGTACTGATTTGGGCAGGTTAAATTGTTGATGTTGTTGATGCAATTGTTGTTGATTTTGTAAAGTTCATTTTTGATGATGACGTTGTTGTTTTGTTGTTGATGATGATGTTGTTGATGACGTTGTTGTTTTGTTGTTGATGGTGATGTTGTTGTTGTTGATGTTTTCAATCTGTTGTTAAATATTTTGAATTATGATCATACTTTCTCTAATTCATATATCCTTCCAATCATCACTCCTT